GGGGCCTTTCGCATGCGCAGCGGGCCCGGCCGAGAGTTGCGCCCCTCCTGTTCCATGGGGCAGCAAATTCAGGTGAGGATCTTTGGGCAGGAAGGTGTCTTGGGGAGAGAGGAGCCAGCCTCTTCTTTACTGTTTCTGCAAGAGTTTCCTCAATATTCCAGCTAGACCTGATTAAGGAGAACATGCTAATGTGCCATGTTCATAGATAAGCTCATTTTCTGTAAACAAATGAGTGTAGAAGCCTCTTAATTGGTGTGGGCAATCTGGAATCTGCAGCCCCCAGATGTTAATGGGGCTCCAACTCCCATCAGCCCCAGCCAGCAGGGCTAATAGTCGGCATGATGGGACTTGTCGCTCTCCAAATGTTGATAGACTACAAGTATCCATTCCTACTTTACAGGCTGTTAGTATCTGGGCACACAAGGAATTGAAAGCTCTGTGTGTGCGCCCATGTGAATAGGAAAAATGGAGGAAGGCTTTCATGAGTACCAGCAGATCGGTAGAAACATGCTATAGTGCTGCCTTCTGTAAGAGGAAGGCAAGTGCCTCTCGGGTGGGATTCACTTCACTGCTCAGGTTGTTATGTTTCTTTTCAGTTTTTTGCAGCCTGCTATGGCTACCAAAATGTTGACTGTCTTACATATTCGTGGGCAAAAGCTGCTATTTTGGCACACCACCAGAATGTGTGTTGGTGGAAGCAGTATTCGCTCATGGCAACCAAGAGACATGGCCTGCTCTCTGTGAGTTGGAGAGCCATCCACGGGCTCAGGGAAAAGCAGATTTCACAGACTGCTGTCGCCTCACATAGGCGCACTGCACTGCTGGGCCTTTTTACAGCTCATGGGCTTAGTGGGGGGGGGGAAGGACTGGAGAAACATACACAGCTAGTGGGTTTGGCTGCTTCTTTTGTGCTATTTTCTAGCAATGTTGTGAAAAGCTTTTTTATTGTTATTATTTAAAAAGTGCACTTACAGGTCCACTGAAAGCCCTAGCCCTACGACTAATTAGAAGTTAAACACAAATGCATGCAACACTACCACAAATTCAATTTAAAGTAATAAGATAGTGCTTTGGGATGGGGACTTGAGAACGGTAGATCATGGGAGGGGTGCCTAAGCCTTTTCCCAAGGGCCATTCAGCTGCTTAAAATCACCACCCCAGTTTCAGATGTTTGTTTGCACTGAGAGCTGTTTGAGTGTTCCAAATTACTCATGAAGAGGAGTCTTCTGGCTCAGAGCCTATAAGAGTTGACTCATGTTTGTGGCAGAGGGGATATTTCCAAGTTCTCTGCCCAGGTAATTTTAAAAATAATAGAGTTGTATCCAGTGTTAATCCTACTCAGGAGTAGACCCATTGAAGTTACTGGACAAGACTAACAGGCTCCTTAATGGCAGTAGGTCAACTCTAAGTAGGACTAGCACTGAATACAACACATTAAGTAGTATCCACTTCCTTGAACCTCAATAAAGTCCAGTAGTCCTTAAGCTTGTTCTAGTTCTTGGTTCTGAAAGCGAGATGAGCGCCGCATCCCATAGTCGCCTTTGACTGGACTTAACTGTCCATGGGTCCTTTACCGTATTTTTTACCTGTATGCTTGTTGGGCAGTTTGTTAGATAGGAAAAGGTTATGTTGCTGCTCCTTTGTTCTGATGGTTGGTGACAACGGCATTGCCTTCTGGCAACTCTGCACGCTGTTCCTTGAGAAATATAGTCAGTGAGAGGAATTCTGAAAGATATGAATCCTGGTGGTTCCGCTTGGAGAATTATGTTCTTTCGATGTGCAAAACTGTTGCACAATGAAGCACAGTTCTCTCCTCCTTGGGCATCTCCCTCGCCTGCAGCACAGGGCTGAAGCCCACAACCATGCGAGCAAGAGCTTGCCCTTGGATTCCTCCCATCCTCTTCAATGCGTGCCTCCCCTCACCTGGAACAGAGCTGTGAAATTTTAATCAGACAACTCTGTGCTGTGCTAGGAAGCATTCGCATGAGCAAGGGAAGACAGCGACCATACATTGCACGTTACATGTTGTGTCTAATCCATCTTGAGCACAAGGAAACCACCCAACAATGCAACATCAGATAAATCCCTGGCAATTCTATGCCCATCAGTTGGGGCACATGTGCATTTTCAGGTAGTTTTATTTGTGAGTCCTAGAGGCCAGTTGCAGATATAGGATTACGCTGTTTCCAAACCTCCTTTGGCCAGTTCATTTAAATCTATGGTCCCCATTCAGGAGATAAGAGATAGGGGAACTTTACTCACCTAAAAGGAGGAGCAATGAGGACAATCTCCTTGTATAAGCATCGGTTGAAATAGACTCCAGTCCGCAAAAGCTCATTACTTTATTAAGTCTTTAAGATGCCAGTTTGCTGCAACAGACTAAAATAGCCACCCCTCTGAGAGTGAGCTCACACTTCAAGTTTGCAAGTGGGTGCTCCTCTGGACATGCCTGTGAATAATGGGTAGAAACCGTGGAAGCTTCATGTTGATTAATAGTTAGAAGCGGTTTTGGTTTTGCACCCATGCATGGCAATATAAATATAAGAAGCTACTTTGTAGTCAGTTAGACCATCTTATGCCAATATTGCTACTTTTAAGAGCCTCTTCCTCAGCCAAAGCCTCTTTTAGTCCTTCTTAATGCATAAAGCTATGGCAAGCTCTGTTTATTTGCCTGCAGGGGCTCAGCTTTTTCCATGAATTCTTTAGGATGCTCTAGACACCTAATTTGTTTTACAGCAGGGATGGGGAGCTTGTGGTCTTCCATTTGTTGCTGGACTACAAGGCCCATCATCTCTGATCATTGGTCATGCCAGCTGGGGCTGCTGGGAGTCCCAGCCTCTTTGGAAGGGCCACAGGTGCCGCAGCCCTGTTGAAAATTGCCAGAGCACCTCCTTTCCATGACTCACTATGTGGTGGGTCCTCTAGTCCAACCCCCAAAGGTGAAAGCATGAATGGTAATCTGGCTGGAAAATATCACAGCATTTTAAAGACACTTAATTTAATGGCACTGAATGGAAAGAATAGGAAAGATTGCCCTGGAAACTTTATTTTTACACTGCGCTTAATGATGGGAGAGGAATTGATTTTATAGGCATGGAGAAACATAATGGGTCACATTTTCCTGAGGCAATCAAGATAGGAAGTGACCATCAGCTGTAACAAATGTTTTCATGTTTGATGAAGGAAATTGTATTTGGTGGTAGTGGGGTTGCTGCTGCTGGGGAGATGTGCTGGTGCGACAGTTCCATTAAGAGGCTCCTTTTTTTAACCTTCCAGGTTCCCCGTGTCCATATCCTGAAACGGTCTCCTGAGGGAGCCCCTGTGCAGGTCTACGTGCCAGAAAATGGAGAAATCATTACTCAGGTGTAGAGACTGCTGAATCACCGTGACTTCCTGCAATTCGGCAATGTCAGCAGGCTGGCTGCCTAGACCGACCCGTCTCCCCATTCCAGGTTGGAAAGACGAGGCTTTGTGTCAAACTTTGGTGCATTCTTCGGCCATCTGATCCTGCTTTATTAAAGAGAACACTTTAGGGGCTATTCTGCAACCTATGTGAGACTATATAGCTCAGTCTCTTCCTTTGTTCCCATGATGAACTGATGCAATAGACGACTGCGACAGACAGCTGGGTTTCCTGTCCTGTGCGGAATACAGAGCACAGCAAGATCCCTCACCCCTCTTAACTAGTGTTTGCTTGTCTGCCTATTTATTCACGTCTGTCTGTGGTGGAAAGATCTTGGGAGCCGGCTGTAGGTTATGAAAGCAAGAACTTTAGAACTTTTATAGCTTTTCAGAAAAGAGCCAAGCCTGACTACATGAATTTTCTTTCCCCTGCGGAAGCAGAATCTGCCTGCCCTCACAAGTGCTAGATGTGGAGCCTCTGTTGTCTTCCTTTTTCTTGCATAAAGTAGTGTGATGTAGCAAACAGGCAATGGAGGCAAGCAAGCTTCCCCAAGTGTAGTTTGGTGTACATGCCCTTTCCCTATTGTTCTCCCTTCACAACTGCTTTTCACAGCATTTGCCATGTTCTTGGTTCTGTATCTACATCACAACGATTCTTAAAAGGAGCCCTTTTCATGTGTGGCTCTATCTTTGTATGGAACCCATCACTTCGTGGAAGGGGTTTCTCATTATACAAGCATGTCACAAGGAACTGAGAGTGACCATGTTTGGTCTCAGCCCAGAACCTTTTCAACTTACAAGTCATGGCAAAAAAATGGGCATAAGCCTTCGTGCTTTTAAGGCTAGAAATGTCAGTTTTGAAAAAGAAAAGCAGATTCTCCGGATGCCAGGTTTGTACTTAATTTGTCGTGCAATCCTAGACTGGACAAAGACAAGATGTTTTGCTTAACCTCTACTACTTTCTGTGGGGTCTTTTCTAAGTACCCGTCTCTCTTTAATATTGGTCTTTGCTTCTCGGGTAACCTAGGGATGTTAAAGCACTAATTATGGTATCATGATGATCAAGTGTGTGGTATTTGCAACCAACACTGTTCTTAATATTAACTTATTTGTACAAGGTTTGCCAGTGGAGGGAGAGGGAATATGTATGATGTGCAACTATGAAAGTTACCTGGACTCAGCTCAAAACAGTGTTAAATCTACCTGAACATTTTTATATTGAATAGGATGCTTTTTCTGAGTCCTTGTGTGTTCTAATCCTTGCAAGTCATCATTTGGGAATTGACTCTGCTTTGATTACTTCTTTAGAAACAGACAAAAACAATGTTTTGTTGTTGCCCCAAAGTGTGCTGTTAATTAAGTACAGAAAAGGCAAAAAGCCAGGTCATGAAGATACAGTTATCAGATGACACTTAAATTCTGGCCAGGCTCGTTGCTTCTGGGTTTGTTTGTTTTTAACTTCCTAGATCAGAGCCACTTGCTCATACCTATATCAATATCCATTTCCTCATCAGCTCAATCTTCGTACCACTGAAAGAGCCTTTTGAACTTACACTTAATGGCCTGTTTTATTTTTATTAAAAAGAATTATTCTCAGATCTTGTTTTGATGTTTATTTATTAAGAGGAGGAACAAACACATTCATTGGAAAACCATGTACAGCGGGAGCTTTAAATAACTTACACTATTTACATAGCGGTATAAAATAATTACACACCTTATCATGTACACACGCACACACACACATACATACGTGTGACCATTTTGCCGGATGGTACAAAACCCCCAAAGAAGCCCTGAACACACACGCCAGCCTTGAGGGGGAGAAAACACCTTTCAGGGCAAGAAAAGGCACCTGTCAATTGAAACATGATTATATATGTATACATAAACCAAGAGGTGGAGCAAACGGGCCTATGGTCTTTCACCCCAGCTCCTTTCTTGGAATGCAGGGATGGTGCATGTTATCCTACCACCAGGAGGCCTATTGCCAAAGCAAAGCCTTAAGAACACCAGGAGAACCTGGCAGAGATTTTCCCAGGGCTGCTAGATGAATCAAGCAGGTTGTGCAAACCCACTTTTGAGTCTCGTTAATGACAGTGTCCTCTTAATGAACATGCACATTTACTCCCAAGGGCTACTCAAAGCAGACGAGGTTTTCAGCTTGCTTATTCTGACCCTTCCCACCGTGTGCTTCACGTAACTGTTCAGAGGAGGTAAAATGGCTCTCCTGGTTTGCACCCAATTTCATTTGCAGGGTTTTGCACTTTGTCACGTCGCTTGGATCAGGACTATTAAAAAATACAAAGAGAGAAGGGGGTAGCTTCTTCAATATGAGAAAATATAATCCCATACCTAAAAAGCTAGCAATAGCACTGAGGCACATGGGACTACATGGCAATATGGTCAATAATTTAACAGTTAAGCAGAGTGCTGTCGGGCACAGTGCTTTCAGGTATATCAAGTAATACTTTACAAGACATTTCATATTTCTTGTACTAAACCAGACTTCCTCCAAGGAAGAATGGAGGAAGTTTTAGGTGAACTGTGTGCAGCTAATTCACAATGTATTCCTAGAATATATTTTTTTACAGGCAACTACATTCACAGGTGGACTACAAGCTTCTGAAAATATCGGACAAGATAGCTCGTGTAGCCATGTGAAGGCGTGAGGATTGTGCTGATTTCATTACCGATGGAAGATGGTCCCTCTTCCAAGGCTTGAATCACTTGGACCTCTCTGTTATTCTCAGCTGAGAATGCTAAGTCACGAGAAGACTGCAAAGGACACAATGATTCAATAAATATCAGTCTTAACATTTAAGAAGAGCTTATTAAAATTGGTGCTGCTGGTGGACACAGTACAAGCTGTGAGCTTGAATGTAAATCAGTCAACAGCGAAGGCAAAGCACACTTGCTTTCACCTTGCCTTCATCTCACTTTTGGGACTTAGGGGTCAGTGGTAATGTGCGGTCCCCAGACTAATTCAAGTTTTATTAACATAAAAACCCCCCCGAAGAGTAGAACTAGACACCTTGGACCATGAGGTAGGTTAACTCAAAACAAGCCCTCACCCTTTTTAAATTTCACTCATGCGCGTGCACATACACACACCCCTCTCCCTCCTGCTCCGCCACCCCCAAAAAATGCACAAGACAATACACAGAACCTTTTGAACACCCATACAGAATTACAGTACAACAACCTACTCCCAATGGAAGAATCTGCAGCTTCACTGCATGGAGCGGATGAAGTTCACACCCAAACCCAGTTTATTAGAGCAGAAGACTCCTATAAACCAGGGGGCAGAGCTGTGGAATGGTCCACCAGTGTGCTGCTTACCCCAAGTCTGCTGGTTGAGGCATGAACTTGGTCCTTGGTCAGGAGAGCACAATGCATGTCAAAAGTCCATTTATACCACATATTAACAGCCAAGTGAGGAAACGAAGGTTTTGAGGAGTGCTCTGTGACTCTCCAGTGAGGGCTGGGACAGCCCTGCTGTGTTACACACAAACAGAAAGCTTCATCTCTTGCAAAGTGATGCTCACACAGGGTCCATGAGAACACTTAAGTGGGTTGAAACTCCACCAGTGAAAATTCAAGTTGATTGAAACACAGAGAGAGAAGCTTCTCCTGCTTATTCATTGCAGAGTCTATTATGAAGACATGAGTATTGATGTGAACGGATGCCAAGCAGGTGTAAGTAAACAGGTGATGGGGCAAGACTAAGAGGGCAAGTCTCATCATCCCACATCTGGGGAAATGTGAAGACAGGAACGCATCACCACACGCTTGTTCAAGTGTTTCTTACCCTGTTAAAAATCTAAAGGAAAAAACCTCACACATTTCTGTTCCAATGCTTAAAAGGGTCCTTTCTCCACCTGAGAGGAGAGAGTCAGTTTCTGTTGCCATTATTATTTTCTCTTATTGGAACAGGACAATGTAAACAGCTTCACAGATTGAAATAATGCATGTTTCTCCCCAGGCTGCCTGTGAAGACTTTCCCAGGGAGAAGCCAAAAACATATTCCAGTAGCTCACATCTTTTTTTTTTTCTCCTGGGATATCTAGCACTATGAAAAAAGGGATCAGCATTACAATTTCAAGTCTGAAGCTGGAATACAGAAAGCAACCATTCTTCCAAACTAACAGAAATCTTGATTCCACAGTTGAAGAAAAAGTGATAATCCAAATCCCATATTAATCATCATCCATTTGACAGACCTCACTTATACAGTAGATATTTTTCTTTTTTATGTTCTCTTGGTAGGGCTCTAAGCATTTGAAAAGGAAAACCTTTGGCGATTCTACTTTTGGAGCAAAAACTGAGAAATATCACATGTGCTTAACATTTTTAAAAAGGTGGTTAACTTTGCCACCCACCCTTCCCCCCTTCAGAAAATCACACACACACATACACACAGCCCATCAGTGGTGGAAATAAGAGAAAGGAAGCCAGCGCATGAACACTCATGAAAGATCTAACTAGAACAAGAAATACCCTCTAAAACACAACAATCAACTATGCAGGAAACACATCCAGGAAGCAGCTGGCATGTTTAGATTTCCTCTGGTCAGTTTCACTGTTAAGCTCTGAAGGAATGCCATAAGCAGGCCCCAGGCGGCCATAGGAGTCGATGGGTTTGGATCGCTCAGGCGTGATGGAGTGAGGAATGAGGTCTCTTGCATCTTTCCTTGATAAACCCCCTTGGCCTATGAACACCTAAAACCACCTATTTTGCAGAGCTTCTCACATAGCCTGGGGGGTGCCTGTTTGGGTGGCATGTGGATTCTGATGGGAGAAATGCTCTCAAATGCCTCAGCTTGACCTTCCTCCTAGGCTGACAATGCCATGGTGGGAGTTTCACAGTTCAGTGTCATTGCAAAATCCTACCAAGAAAAAGAGACATGGAGCATGGAAACTGGAAAGGAAAGAAGGCTCCCTCGCACCGTCCAACCAACTCACTCACTGGGGCACATGGTACCACAAAGCCAGGGTGCCATCTTTTCCTGAAGCCCTGAGTGTGTGAGATTCTGGTGGGAAGCTAAGCACGCCCTACCCTTGCAAGCCAGGCTCAACAAGAGCGCCACATCTTGTCTTCTCGTGACCTCCACCACAGTCACCATGTCCAAGTAGTTCCCCAGGTTCTATCTAGGTTGTGCTGTTCAGTAGCTTCCTTGCACTCCAGAGTTTCACTGTCCAGTCACTGGGGAATGAAGAGGAAAGGGTGGGAATATGACATTTAGAAAGTCAAGAACAAAACACTGAACAAGCTCAGATAAAGGGAAAACGGAGGTGCAAACCACAGATTACATAGATAACATGCTTGTAAAAAGTGTGCTTAGTAGATAGGTGAATATTTATTTTGAAGGAAAAGCAGCCACATGGGCTCCCAGTCTGGACCACACTCCTTAATCTGGGCACTGTGCTGATTTCCCACCCAAAATCCTTCCTCTCCTGCCTTTCACTCTCTTGCAATGCTCAAGGACACCATGAAGGCACATGGGCTACTCCAGAACAAATGCCCTGTTTAAAGCAAGAGAGAAAGAATTCAAACACCTTCACTTACTGCAAAACCAGAATTCAAATTGGGACCTGCCTTGGGGGTTGTACTCCCCCACCCCCTACATGATCCCCATTGACATTCACACACACAAAACACACACATACACACAATTTTATTTGTATGCCACCTTTCCACAGTTCAAACCATGCTCAAGGTGGCTTACAACATGAAAGGAAATGCGTAACCGCAACATAACAAAATTAGTCATAAACAATAAATAAAACATTAAAAACACACACAATCAAACTGAACAATTTCCACATAAATCACGCCAACCCTAATACATAGTTTATTAGAGGTTAGCTTCATTGATTTCAGTGGGACAGGCTTCCAAGTGAAGCATGCAGCCTTAATAATGCAACCAAGCAGGCATGTCAACATGTCAAGGAGGAAAGTGAGATGGGGGTTTTTTTTTGCATGCCCACTTTGGAGGTGAACTGGGAAGTAATGTCTCCCTTGGAAAACACCTCCACTTACTGCCCTAAAGGGAAAGAAAAGCAAGTAAGCATTGCATACCGTTAAGAAGCAGCTGAGATCAGCTCGCAGAGAAAGGGGTTAGGGACGAGAAAGAGGGGAAGGGGGAACACAGCAAGAAAAAGTGAGCAGGAGAGTAGAGAAGACAGGAGGAGGGTCAAGGCAGACTGGTAGCACGGCCCTTGATGGCAAGGACGCGTCGTGGAAGGCAGGGGGTGAGCCCAGGCACGTAATTCCATAACTTTACCCGGCAGTCACTGTGGCACATAGAAACAGAGAGAAGAGAGACAGAGAGAGGAAGAGAGAAAAGGAAAAAAGAAACATGGTCGGAAAAGAGGAGATTAGAGACTCCAAAGGGGAAGAGAGTGAGTGGTGGGGCCTGGGTTGCCCTCCCTGGGGAAGCCCTCTTGCCAAGTCTTTGGTCCTTGCTCTGCCAGAATCTCCATGGGACCATGATGGGTTACCAAGAGTCCCCGCGGCTCAGTTCAGTTCGTGACTGCTGGGACAAACCAGCTTGTTGTACCTCAGTTGAGGAGCTATGTCCTTAGGTGCTAATCACTGGCTACTACAGCAAGGCACCCTTTCGTAAGGGGCAGTGCCAGAAATCAACCTTAGGTACAAACAAGGAAGCACCATGCAGAATCTCGCTGGAGATGTGATGAGGAAGAGGTGAACTAAAGAACCATGAAAAAGCCATTCCTTGCTCTCAAGGATGCACAGTAAGCGACTCTGGGAGATCAGTGTTGTGATGGACACCACTGCACTATGGCTCTGTGAGCAGGGCAGCCACAGAAGCAATGGCTTCCTCTGGCTCCTCCATCAACCAGGTGCTTGGGCCCGTAACCAGCTCATCTCTGGTGGCACCTCATTTTCTTGAGCAGCTTGACTACACATGATGGGATGCAGCGGGCACAGAGTTCATGGTAAAGAGAAGCCCTTGCCCTCAACACTCACCTGGAAGCTGTGAATATGTGCTTAGAATTGGTGCAGATGGCATTGATGGGGCTGTCGTGCCCCTTGATGTCCCCAACGGGGGTGAAGTTATCGACATTCCAGACCTTCACTGTCCCACCACGGCAGGCACTCAGCAGCATGGGCCGGCTAGGCACAAAGGCCAACGCACAAACCCAGTCTTTGTGTGCATTTGGGATTTGCTAGAAACAGGAGTCACAATGAGCTGAGTTAGCAAGGGCCTGTTGCCACACCCCAAAAACTTTTCCACCCACGGATTTCTGAATGAGATGACTTGGGAGTTAAAACAAAGCCCAAGGGAGTGGACTAGATACTAAAGAACTGGAATAACACTGCCATTCATTGTAGGTGTTGGTTGTGCCATAAAAATAATGCCACCATGGCATTAATTTGTCCTGAAGGTTATGGCACAGTGGCAGCTAAAACCCAATTGGCCCACACACCAATCTTGCAAATGCAGGGGAATTCTTTCATTGGGCTTGTTCCTAATAATGCAAACAGTCTTAAAATGAGGACACCTAGCTGACACACCTCAGAAACCTGAACAAATGTTTGCAGATCGATATCACCACCTGGAATTGAGGCTAAATTTGAAATGGGGAACTGGCTATGCAAAAGCAAGGCCACACACTTGAAAACTGTGAACACTGCAGCAACAAGAGGAGAATTCTGCATGAGCAGGGCCAACCCTTTCAACAGGGATTCCAATTCTTAACTAAGCCAGGACAACTTCCTTCCTTTGGTTCTTATGTGACACATTTGGCAAAGACAGAAATTACAGGATTGCACTCAGAATGGCTGTTGGCTTGGCCTTCCCACAGCTCTTGCCAATGGCCACTCATTATAGGACCCACACAGAGGCTTGGAAGATTAGGGTAACATCAGAGGTACTTGTCCTCTATAAGCAGTTTTATCCATTTAACTCTAAAATAGTGCACCGAAGGGCATAGATCAGCAGTGGAATATCTGTGGCTTGCTTGATGTTTTTAGACCCCCAACTCCCACTGGCACCAGTCAGCATGCCCAATGACTAGGGATTATGGGAGCTGCCCCAAGCTCCCCAAACTTGGCACACTTGGCCTTGGGACTAATTGTGCTTGTTACCAGTAGTAAACTAGACAACCAAGTCAAGGACCACTAAATAGCTAGAATAATAAATAATACAACACACAGGCAATAAATAAGACCCCCAACAAGATTTTGAGGGCCAATGTTGTTCAACTGCTGGGAAAATATACAATGGAAATATTAACTTATTAAAGGAAGATAGTAGGATTCTTTTACAACTGCTTTCCCTAATCTGGTAGCCCTAAACATCTGGAGGACACCAGGTTCTACTAGATACTGCCAGCAAGTCAGTGCTCCAAGAGATTTGGTCCTTGCTCACCCTCTCTCTAGAACAGGCATAGGCAAACTCTGGCCCTCCAGATGTTTGGGACTACAATTCCCATCATCCCTGACCACTGGTCCTGTTAGCTAGGGATGATGGGAATTGTAGTCCCAAACATTTGGAGGGCCAAAGTTTGCCTATGCCTGTTCTAGCATAACCACCCTGCTTTTCGAAGAGGCTTACTGAGCTCAATACAATCATGGCTGGTACACATATGCAGAGGCCATACTTGCCACAAATAAATTTAATGTGTATGGGGTATGTGCACTATCTGAATTTCAGCATCTAAAATTTCCACTGGCCTCATGGTCCGCCCCCTTCAGGGATGTCAGCACTGGGGCTTCTTACCCCTGCACTACAGGAAGAATTTATGCACCAACTGTATATTGACACCCTCAGCATAATTCACTCCACACAAATGGTATACTGCCTCTGTCTTTGAAAACCCAGCATCCTTCCCTATCATCCGTCATACCTGGATGAGCTCCTGCTGGTCCAGGTCCCATTTCTTGATTCCGTTGTCCCTGGAGCCGCTGAAGAGAACATCTCCCTGAATAGCTAGGCACTCAATGCCATCATAATGTGGGGGTTCAAAGTTGTGAGTGGGGCCAATGTTCCCAACAACGCCTTCCGCAATCTCGAACATCTGCAAAATGAGAAGTGGCAAAATAAGAATCCACAGCCCAGGTTCAACCTGCAGTTAACCCTGGGCTCAGTGTGTCCCCCCCCCCCTTTCAGAAAAGTAGGCATTGTGCTAGATAGTCCTATAGCTTTCCCTGCTCCAGAGTAACTCTTAAAAATAATGGAATGGATTCAACCAATGAGTCTTGCTAATGGAAGGCTGTGCAATGACTTCTACTGGTGAAACAGGGCTTTTCTCCCCCTTCTCTGCCCATGCACCCCACCCAATTGACTTGATTGGGGAGAATAGCCCCCAGAATGGCATATGGTAGGAGGAGAGGAGGACTCATTCCCTCTAGCAAGCTGAAATCCTTGCACTGATGGAACATAGTGCTACTCTGAATTCTTCCCTAAGTATGTTTGGTTATGTGGGGGACTAAGGATGCTGCCAACAGTGAACTCAGCAAAATGTATTATGTCCAGTACCTTGACATAATGATCTTTAGATCCCGTGATGACTAGGTCATGGTTGCTTGCAGTCCTGTTCACCGTGAGACACATCACTGGCCCAATATGACCTGTCAGCTTCCCAATGGGCTGCAACCTAGTCAAAAAAGCGGAAAGGGTAGTGTTGAGAAATTAACAGCAGGAACACCCCCCCCCAAGGCTAATGCTCCCCAAGTAATGCCCAAATACTAAATGTATTCATAAAGGGGTTGAGTTTCAAGTTCTTCAGTGTGAGTAATTGAGGAGTTTGGGTCATGGCAACAGTCTCTTGCCATTCTCTTCTGGGCATTTTTGCAGATTTCCAAACAGTTTGGAATTGTAGGCAGTTCGCCTCCTCTCACCTGTTTAGCTCCCAGATGCGGACAGAATTGCCAGTGGCTGCATAGAGCATGGTGCCTGTGGGGTTAAGTGCAATCTGGTTGATCTGGTGCTCTCCTTGCACACTGGTGATGGTGCGGGTGGAGGTCCCAGCACAGGCATCCCCGGCAATCACCTGGCCTGATGAACTAATAGAGGGAAAGAGGAAAGAGATATGATGGGGAGTCTCACAGAAGCAGGAATGGAGTTCAGCTGCAGGGCAAGAGACTGCAGATTTGCCTTTGCCTTTCGGAGGAGGCTACTCAGACAAAAGCAGCTCCAAAATATACAGCAAGGAAAGGTTCAACTCCATGAGGGCCAGGAACAGCAATATGTTTTCAAACCCACAGATCACCTGGAAGGAATTATTCCTCAGAGGAACAGTTCTAGCAGATTGAAAGGAGAGCCTACTGAGGGTTTGTCACAGGATTAGACCTGGTGTGCCATTTTTTATTCTTAAGAATAGTCAGTGCAGGAGCTCCTTGACTGGGACTGTCCTGATGTGACTTTGCTATGTTCATCCTTGCACATTGCACAGTAGGACTAAGCATGTGACAAATGACATGCATAATCTGGCCTGTAGATGTTGGAGGAAGCAAGTTTGGTGGGTAGAGAGATGGCCCTGTGTCAGATGTCAAGGCAAAGGAGCTGTGCCCTGTGGAGCATTGCGTTCCACTGCAAAACAGGACATAGTAGACCAGCAAGCAGGTGAGTAGCACCTGCAGATACAATGCTATCCAAACATCAGCAATCAGAAGCAGCTTGTGGGATCTCACAGTTCACTTTCCCCTGCCTTATGGTGCAATGGATGATTTGGCACAATGTTGTGTGACCATGGATAGCAATGGCTTATGCTCTTAAACCCCACTTTGTTAAACCTTATAAGGCCACAAATGAAGCTTCGAAAAACTCAAAAGCAGCAAAACAGAAAGCTGCCAAGTACTTACGTGAGAGTACGAATACACTTTGCAGAATCCCGGATGTCCCACACTTTGATGTAAGAGGTAGAGACTGTGAACACCAGGCCAGAGTGGTTACTGTACTTTATGGAAACCACATTGTTTGGGTGGCCTTTCAAGGAGGCAATTTCCTGGCCAGTCACCAAGTTCCACATTTTGCAACTCCGATCTTTGGAAAGAAGAGAGAACTTCAGTTGTGCCAGCAGTGCCCTAGTTTCCCATCTGAGAGCAGAAACCACCACTCTCTCCTAAGCAACATATTTCCTCAGTGATTCTAAGATGTGACTAATATTTTAAATACAGCAGATAAGATGGAAAGCAGCTAGTTTTAATTCAAATTTGAAAGGTTCAGCAGTTGCAGAAATTTCTTTTTCTTTCTTTCTGGGGACAGCCATTGTCTTTATAGTCATCCTTAACTTTTTTGCCTCCCACTGCACTTATCGGAAAGAGACATGACACTTGTTATGCCCATGTGTGTGAGCAGGCACACGCATGCTTGACTTGCCAAGGAAAATAGTGGGAGTGCAATATATCTAGAGGGCACTTGTCACGTGATATACTATACAGACTGAGCCTGCTCAAAACTGTCTCCATGTAGCGGCTACTCCACATGTGAAGCACTTTAATGTCACTGCTCGCAGGGGCAGGGAGAATGGCTGTCCCAACTGCAGCCATGGGGGTAGCTTAGTTCCGTCAACCATGTCCCTGGGGTGATGCAGCTACATCATGACACAGAGTCCTTCAAACAGAGGTACTGGGGCGGGGGGGGGGAGGTTGCTGGGCAACTTGCTTCAGCAGCAAAACTAAGGTAAAAGGGCGGTGAAGGCAATAGTATACTTTTTCTTCCACCACCCCTGAAAATGCTTAATTTTTCACCATTTCTGAACATTGCTAGAAAAGCTCCAGTCAGAACTTCTGGCTCAGTGTTCATTCATACCACCAAAAGCAGCTCCCACCCCCTCTCTCAAACACACACCTTTGGATCCAGAGAACAACAATTCATCTGTAGCATCCAGGCACAGGACAGGCTTGGTGTGTCCTTCTGCCACAGAGATGCATTGCAGTGGAGCTGTCCGGGCACTCCTGGACCCTCCCACAGGGTTGATAATGCCCCTTGCATGGGAGAAAAAGAGAAATGCTTTGAGAGACGGTTCCTGCAGCTGCAGCAATCAGGCATCCTTAGAGTAACCAATCATGCACCTGGGAATCACACTGCTCAGGAGATACTGGGGTGCCAGAAGGACCAGACCCACATTAAGCTTAAAAGAGAAAAAAAAGGTGGGGGAGTGACAGGCAGGCAAGCACATGCAGAATCAAGCTGAAGAGTATGTCACAAAGTTCTGGGCACAAACATCTTCAAGTTACAGGAAGGGTGAGATGCTCCATCATTGGTTATATACTGGTGTCAGTATTATGCTGAAAGCTGATCCACTCAAATGCTCTTCAAGTGTTTTTCCCCCAAAGAGGCAACATAGGTAAGAGCAGGGCTACAGGATACATGTTTAGGCCCCTTTCCGAGCACAATTCAAGGTGCTGGCACTACCCATTAAAGCCTTAAACAGCATAGGCCCTGTAAACCTGAAGGAGCATCTCCACCTCCAGCCTGGTCACTGAGGTCCTCCTCTGAGGGTCTTCTGCTGGTTCCCTCACTGTGAGAAGTGAAGCTATAGGGAACCAGGCAGAGGGCCTTCTTGGTAGTTGCGCCTGCCCTGTGGAGTGCCCTTCCATCAGATGTCAAGGAAATAAACAGTGACTTGTCTTTTAGAAGACATCTGAAGGCCACCCTGTATCAGGAAGTTTTTAATGCTTGATGTTTAGTTGTGTTTTTATATTATGTTGGAAGCTGCCCGTGGTAGGCGGGGTGTAAATAAACTATTAGTTGTTGCTATATTAAAGCCAGCTAATGTTTTGTGCATTCATGGAAGCTCTTAATGGAATTGAAAACTGCAATGCACAACCCTGAGGACCAGAACGTGTGTATTTACATACAGCTTTGAATGGGAACACAGGAAGCTACTTTATGCTATTAATCCATCCAGCTCAGAACATTGACTGAAAGTGGTTCTCCAGGGTTTCAGGCAGGAATATTTGCCAACCTCACCTGGAGATATCACTGAACATGGAACCTGATGCATGCAAAGCATCCATAGAGTGACAGCCCCTTCCTCATCAACAGCTCCAGGTTACTGCATTGGCTGCTTTGTTTCTGAAAAATTATTTCAAATTTCAGCCTCCAACTCTCTTTGTGCAAGATCAAGGTGCAATGTAACTAATATAGTTTTGTTATCACATGCCAAGAGAGGCACTGGCTCTTTGTAAGTAACAAAAATCTCTTTATTTTTTGCTCTGAAATGAACACATGAGTTCAAATGATTGCAATTATTTTAATAATCCAGTTGGTCCCATCTAGCATCATGTCATGTTATTCTAGACCTATAATCTTTGTAACTTTGACAACTCAAACTCCTCTTCTCCAGAATGTCTCCATCTGAGTCAGGCATGAAATCGGTGCACCACCTTGTGGTCAACATGGAGACACTTCAAACCTTCCCGGCAACAAGCTTTGTAACAGCTCTGAAAGTTGGCAGCGGTTTCTTATTTGAATACATGGGATCACCAAGACACATAAAGTTTAAAAAAGGAATGGAGCCCCCTCCGCCAAAAATAAATCACATAAGTGTGAGTTAGAGGCTTGAACACGTCACACAAAACTTTTCTCTTAGATCGAAGTTGAGAGGCGGTAGTGTACAATACTGTTAAAATACATATCAAATATAGAAATGTAATGCAGTGAAAAAGTAGGGAAGAATTAAAGTGATAATATACTCAAACCAAGCTCCAGCTTGGGAGTATAAGTGAGTTTTTAAAAGATGCCTGATCAGCATCGATAGGGGCACTCACCTAAACTCGGAGGGAAAGTGATTCTATAATAAGGGTGCCACTGCAGAAAAGGCCCTCCCGTTCTAATGGCCACTACCTGTACTTCAAAAGGCTATAGCACAACCATAAAGGCCTCATCAGACAATTGTACTGATTATGCAGGGTAGCCTTTGCTGGGGCTGAAGGGAGTGGTAGCCCTAAACACCTGGAGGACACTAGGTTGGCAAAGGTAGGTCAATAGGGAGAAAAGGTGATTCCTCGGGTATTCTAGTCCCAAGTTGTTCAAGGATTTATGAGTCAATACCAAAATCTTAAACTTGGTCCAGTAGTTTATTGCCATTTTCAAAAAGTACACACTCTTGATTATTAGGACAGAAATAAACATAACAGATTACATTTCCCTTACACATGTGCACCCCTCCATCTTCAGTGGGGTTGGCTAACGTCTTGAAAGTTTATTTTACACCCAGAAATAAGGGAAAGGCATTGCCACTTGCTGGAGTATCGCTTTAACACGAAATCCAGTGACCAGAATCAGCATTCAGGACCTCCCTTGTATTCACAGTATGAGGCTGGACGCCATTATGCAAATTTAAAAACTACCATCCATCCATTTTAGCAACTATGGCAAAAATAACTCACCCCGGATAAAAAGAAAACAGGGGCTGGACTTCTGGGCTGTAGTGGCAGATGGAAAAGACATGGAGTGCTCCCACAGGCTTCATGAGAGCAGGACTGCCAAGAACTGGAAGCAAATGGGAAGTGTGGGGGAGGCAGGGAGCTGTGCCTGAAGGGCATGGAAATGTCCTCAACACAAATGACTCCAAGACTCTGAGCCTGAAGGGGAGCTGCTTGGACATTTCCCGATACAGTGGTGCCTCGCAAGACGAAATTAATTCGTTCCGCAAGTTTTTTCTTCTTGCGAGTTTTTCGTCTTGCGAAGCACGGTTTCCCATAGGAATGCATTGAAAATCAATTAATGCGTTCCTAGGGAAACCGCTTGCCAGGCTGGCGGTGCGGAGAAGGGCTTTTCTCCCCACCGCAAGCCTTCAGGACAGGTACGGGAACAGAGGGGAAGGGGCGCAGCGCTTCTCCTCTGTTCCCGGGGCTTGCGGTGGGAAGGAGGGTTTTTCCTCCCCACCGCCAACATTCAGAACAGCATTCTGAATGTTGGCGGTGGGAAGGAAAACCCTCCTCCCACCCCAAGTCTTCAGGAAAGCCATCCGAAGCCGGGCGGCGGGAGAAGGTGTCCCCGCCCCGCCGCCCGGCTTTGGAGCTTCGTTCCGATGCCAGGCGGCGGGAGAAGGCGTTCCCGCCCCGCCGCCCGGCGTCAGAGCTTTGTTCCGATGCCGGGCGGCGGGAGAAGGTGTCCCCGCCCCGCCGCCCGGCTTCGGAGCTTCGTTCCGATGCCGGGCGGCGGGAGGAGGCGTTCCCGCCCCGCCGCCTGGCTTCAGAGCTTCGTTTCGATGCCGGGCGGTGGGAGGAGGTCCGAGGACAGTGGGGAAGACGCGCTGCGCTTCCCCGCTGTCCCGGAGATTTCCCTATGGGCTTTCGTCTTGCGAAGCAAGCCCATAGGGAAATTCGTTTTGCGTAGCGCCTCCAAAATGGAAAACCCTTTCGTCTAGCGGGTTTTCCGTCTTGCGAGGCGTTCGTCTTGCGGGGTACCACTGTATTCTCTCCACCACGAAGCCTAGAAACTACTCAAGAGCCACATTCGTGAAATCATGGTGCAATTATGACACATGCAAATGGTTAGCTTCTAACTCCTAGTTACAGACATGCACTACCTGCAGGTGTATGCTTGGTCCATTCCAAACAAAAACATGCCACAGGATGGCGTCTATTAAGTGCCGGGGGAAAGAGACTTGAGATTTTCAGATACACGTGCGTGTTGGTGGATTAACCGCAGGATGTGTCCTAGTGAAGCATGCTGAGTGGGGTGAGCCCTACTGTTTCAGTTAACATAGGAAGGGGTCCCAATGGAGCACTCTAATCAGCTGGGAAGGCAAATCTACCAGCAAGTAGAAGCAGCACAAGGAAAGAAACATCACACCGGGTTCAGTTACAAGCAGGTTTCAAATGCAGGGAGGGGGAAAGAATGAGAAAAGAGGAAAGCAAGAAGAGTTATATAATAAATAGTAAGTTTTATACCTCAGCACCTCCGAGACAGAGGAGTCACTGTCATCAGACCTAGGGACAGAAAATTAGCAGGATTACGGGTAATTAAAACCAGGAGAAGGAAAAGCAGCAGCATAGTCAGAAAAGGAAGGGTTGTTATTGCATCCAAGCTAGCAGGGCGGGCAGACATAGGAGAGCAGACCACAGACAGAAGGGATCAGGAACGGGGGGTGGGTGGGTGCGTAGCAGAAACCATCATGAGTTTTTAACTAGGTGCTTCACCACACACTTGCAAGCCTGTCATCGCAGCCATAAGGCTCGGAGCTTGGATTAAGAACAAAAAGGAAGTGGAGATTCTCAGGATGCTGAGTTACTGTGCATGTGTGGTTCTTCTGCAAAAGAAGGGAATGTGCACACATATGGGAATGCCTGCCCAAGGCTCCTACATAGCTATGGGTGGGCCAGCTTCTGAGAACGTTGGCAGTGACTCCCATGTCACCTCCAAACGGGAATATGGACCCAATGGTCACAGAGGTCACTCTAATGCCAGCTTAGCCCCAATAGGTTCCTTTGTTCCTTTGTTCATTTATTTATTGGGCTGCTGTTCTGTGTTTTGAAAATTCAGCATCATCCCTGTGTCCTTGAAGATCAAGGCAGCCCATGTTAGAGGAATCCCATTGTGTTAACTGAAGCTCTGTCAATGCTGCCACCAGCTGTCATTCAGGAGGCTTGTGGAACACACTCCAGAAAGGGGTGGGGAACCCAAAGCTGACATTCTGGTATTTAGAAAGCAGGACTCACATGACCTTGTTTTCCAATATCTTTCCAATATGAAGACATATCTGGAAGGCTTAACTTACACCTGTGCTGGAAAAAGCATACCAATTCCTCCCCCGCACTAAAACAGAGGTAAGCTGTTAATAAAGGGGCACCAGAGCAGATGGCCCCTATAGGTTGCAGACAGGGTTGGAAAGAGATTCAGAACTGCTACCCATAACATATGGGGAGAACAGGGTGCTTTTGAGCTTAAAGCACCGACTCAGGTACTTAGCCGCAGAGACCAAGGACTTTGATTCACATGCCTCCACAACAGCGCATAAGAGGCTCCCTGAACGATTTGGCAGGTTTCACAGTAATTGCACCTAAGTGTCTAGCACCTAAGAGGCATGGTGCTAATTCCAGTGCAAATAGGGCCCAAACCTGGAAGTCAAAGAAAAACATGCCATTCTTGGTGCTGGGTAGAGTGGGACATAAGGGGATGATATCCCTGGCACTGCCAGTTTATCCATTCTGTTGTCACCTTCTATGGGGATACAAGTTTCCCCAAGTTCCGCAGGCGGCCTTACTTGTCTAGTGCTGAGCCCTGGCTCTGGTTGCTGGTGAGGCGGGAGAAAACATTCCGGTCGTTGCGTGGCCTGCTGGGAGGGGATGAAGGAGGAGTGAATCCAACATCTGGGTTCCTAGGCAAGAAAGAGAGAAGCAGTGGGTTCCACTAATTATAGAACTATAATCTTGCAGCACTGTTAGATCCTGCATCACACAACAGTTCATTTTCTGCATTATGAGCAAAGTGTAAGAACTGCTGCCAATTGCACTCACTCACTTACACTCACCTGATAGGCTGGCCCCGGTCATATGACTTCCTCCTGGTGAGGGGTGATGTGTCTGCACCACGGGACTGTCTAGGGCTAGATGAGAGGCAGCCATGGTTAGTAAATACCCTATCCAAAGTTGGGCTCCCTCAGCTTTGAAGGAGACTGGGAAGAGCAAAGCCTTGACCAGCTGGTTCTCAGAGCAGATTCTAATATTCTCCAGGGCACACAGAACAGTCCTGCATCACATGCAGGGTATTGCTTCTTTGAAAGCTCCTCCACATCAGAATCTCCTTGCAGGTGCCAAGCGACACAACAGGGAGGCTAGGATAAAAACATTCTTACTGCACGTGCCAGCTGTGTGTGCATGCAGAGATTTTGATGTGGAAGCACATTCTGGGACACGTTTCTCTACGTGCATTACAAGATGGCACACTTCTTGGGAGGGCTGTACCAAGTGAGTTTCCATAAGGTCTGAAGTGACCCTCATTCTGGGGACTGGGAGGACTATTTCAATTTTCAGCACTCTTGGTGTCCACAGGAGCTGCCTGCCCTGGTTCCTGCCTGGCTGATGGTGGGCTGTAAAGGCTATGCAGTTCACACCACCTAGGTTTGTCCACCCACAGTAGCAGCATCTGGGGGAAAGGGGGGGGTGTCCCTGCCTTTCAAGTCTTTCACTATAGTTTGTAAACCAGGAGTACTTGAAGCTGCCAGTTTATAGGTCTGGGAGGACTGAGAGGACTTGGGGAACAGTTTCACAAGAATGAGGGATCCGATGCCGCCGTGTCACGGCTACTCCCCATGGAAGACTGTGCCAGCGAAGAGGGAAACTGACTCTGACCCCAGAACAATGGGGTCAGAACATGACTTTCTGTTCTTTCCTTGGTTGCGCTCCCTTTGCCCACCAACTCTTCACCCTCAAGTAGGGCAGAAATCATGGCAGAAATCCAACCGTCCAAAGCCAGCAGTCACCTACACCACAGTTTCCCCAACACGATCCATACACAGATCACCAAGTACGCTACCAGGGCTTACAATGTACTCCCTCGGATGGGCAGGCTGATGGTGCGGGAGACCTTCTCCTTGTAGTAAGGATCACGGATGGAGAAGCCAATCCCATCCTCTTTGATCTCCATGAGGGATGCCAACGACTTGGTGATGTTCTTGGTGGAGATGTCCAATGTGGGCCCTAGACACTCTGCAGACACAGCTTTCATCTGGCCAGACAGCTTGGGCTCCCCCTAAAACAAAGCCCCAGAAAACACAAAGCAAACTAAGGAGCAGCAGATGGCAAGGCAACACGGGAGCTATTCCCCGGTTGCCACTGTAGCTGGTGCTCAAATTCAGCCTGGGAAGACTAGCATTTCTTGGTCACCTCAATCTCAGAAACCCCTGCAAATATCCCAAGCAGCTTTCCAAGACCTTCCCACTTCACTCTGAAATTAACATGGACAACAACAGAACACACCACCTACCACTGAGCAGCAATTGCTGGTCATTCAGAAGAGACCTAATGAAGTTCCTGTGCCCCCCACCCCACTAGAATTCAAGTAGGCCAGTCTAGGGCCAATTGTTTTCTCTGGATAAAAGGTTTATTCAACAGAGCCATGGCTAGGACAGACAGAGACATAACACACATCAGTCCAGGGCTTTGTTTTAATTTCATTGCCGATTCATTGGAGGAGGGCCAAAGCTTAAGAATCACCATCTGGATGTACAGCACCACGGCTAGCTGCCAAAATGCAGTACAAATATCATAACTTGGCCTCAGTGAAATGTAGGGAAGATGAAAAAATGGTGCATATATTCACGGGGGGCTCCCCACTATTTGGAAAGCTACAGAAGAAGAATGTGGTAAGGTCAAAGTGCCATGTTCCGCTTTAAAAACAAACATATATAAACAAATATAAAGGTAAAGGTAAAGGTACCCCTGCCCGTACGGGCCAGTCTTGACAGACTCTAGGGTTGTGCGCTCATCTCACTCTAGAGGCCGGGAGCCAGCGCTGTCCGCAGACACTTCTGGGTCACATGGCCAGCGTGACGAAGCTGCTCTGGCGAATCGGCACCAGAGCAGCACACGGAACGCCGTTTACCTTCCCGCTATAAAGCGGTACCTATTTATCTACTTGCATTTAGGGGTGCTTTCAAACTGCTAGGTGGGCAGGAGCTGGGACCGAACGATGGGAGCTCACCCCGCCGCGGGGATACAATATAGCCAAACATAAATCTGACCACATGGGGCACCTTCAACAAGAAAAAGCATTTCTGTACAAAAATGACCAGGATATTCTACAACGTTGTCAACATTTTCCTGTCACTGACCATTGTTTAGGTTGGTGAAAATCTTAAACTCCTTCCTGGTTATTTGAAGCTTTTGTTAGTTCTGGATGGATCTGCTAACCATCTTTCCTGGGAATTTCCATAATGAAAACGTATAACAACAAGAAGAATTGGAAGTGTTTGCCAGACTCAAACTTTCAAACTTACCCTGCACTTGAAGTCATCCTGACTGGCAGAGCCCTTCATGGAGAAAGACTGGGAAAAGCTGCAGGAACACAGGGAGAGTTTTGTGCACACATATTTTCAGTAAGAACTACAGAGGTGCAAACTAACTAAGAGACTCTCCATCCCAGCAGAGCTTCAGTCCTTAACTCAGGAGCCCACTTCATTCTTGCACCACAGGTTTTCTAGCTTAATTCTGGAATTTTACAGAAAAGAACCATGTAGGGGTTTCTTTCATACTCAAAGCTGACTTTGAAGGGTGGCTACATTGGTCAACACATGGAATTTACACCCCACCCACCTTTTAAAGGCCACCACAGCCTAGAGGGAAAACAGGCGGAAAACACTCAACCTGTGCCCTGCGGTCTCTCTGGGTGCACAACTCACCTCCCCTCTGAGGCCATGCTGAATTCAGAGACTTCTTCATCTGTGCTGGCATAGCCATTCTCTGTGCAAAAGGATAAAACAAAAACCAGGTAGAGCACATCCACTAGCACATGAGTACTTAGCTCTGGTGTTGGACCAAAACATACCCCTGCTTCCCTCTGACCCAGGCCATGAATTAGGGTAAGCAAAAAAGAGGATTTCTAAGCAAACATGATTCTATCTCAAAGAGGCAAAAGCTACTCCAAACTCCCACCTTGCTGCACATTGTGGATGAGCGCCTGCAGCTCAGGGTGGGATTCTGCCTTTTCCCGCAAGGCATCCAGGATGTGGTGGTTCTGAGAGGAGCCAGTCACATCCGTTTGTCTCAAGCGGCCTTCCAGCAGGCGGATCTGGGCTTCCTTCTGGGCTACCTGCAGGCTCTGTTTTGCAAAAATTGGAGGATTAGGCACAAGTTCAGCGGCAGCTTTCCCACTTGTGGAATGCCCTCCCTAGTGAAACACATCTGTCTCCCTCACTCAATTCTAAAGCAAAACTATTCGAAGAAGTTCATTAACCTTGTCCATCAGGACTGATTGGTCTACTTGGGGTCTTTGTACAGACCAACTTGCTACTGAATAGTTGCAAATCAAGATGTGGCTATCAGATCTCTGGTCAACATGAGAGAGAAAGGCTGCTTTTAAAAAATAATAGCTTACCTTGTCTATGGATGCCTTGAGGAAATTGTCCAGCAAAAGCCGTGCCTCAGCCAAGGAGCAGGAGCTGATCACCACAGAGGTGTCTGTGGAATCCAGTTCTTCCTAGAGACCCACAGGAGGAAAACAACAGAATGAGAAAGTCTGGGAAAGGGCAGTTGCAGTTTGCTACCCATGCCAGCAGTGGGATTGGTTCCTTTGCTAAAGATTTAGCTCCACAGGCTACGTGGCTTTGCAAGAGACCCATCCAGCAGATTTGTGCATAAAAGTAGTAGTCAGTCTCATGTTATCAACTCGCTCCAGCCCCTGAACCCAAATCGTAAGCACTACAGAGTGGCCTTCCCCAAATGTGGTGCCTTTCAGATATTTTTGAACTATGACTCCCATCGTCACCCCTGACCACTGGGCATGCTGGCCATGGCTGAAAGGCATTGGGAGTCCAAAACACCTGGAGGGCACCAGGCTGTGGAAGCTGTTATAGGCCAATCAGAAGCCTTTGTTTGAGATGTCTACAAACCAGCAAGTTCACTTAGGATGCTGAGACTTTCACACAATTGCCAAATTCTCAGAACTCTTAATAACGGATCGATACTATTTTGTTAAGAATTTAAAATGTTTTAATGTTAGCACCACTGTTACAAAACCATTTGTCTGGACTGCTATTTTATGCTTTTGAAAGGAACTGATACACGACAGTTTATTGTGTGTTTGGGGGGTATACATTTATGTGGAAAAGGAACATACCAAATAAGGGGGGGGGGGAGAGAGAGAAATAGCAGTTCCTCAGAGGAAATAGCAGAGACCCAGGACTTTCCATACTCTACAAGTTAACTTCCCAGTCTCTGCGTCTTACATTCCCCCAGCCATAAGCTTTTAAGGAAGCAGGAACACACTGAAACAGCCTACTGTAAATGAAACAAGAGTTTAACTCATTAAGGTAAGATCAGAAGACATAGTGCTTCCTGATCCACCCACTGTAACTGATTATCTACACAAGAGCTCAGCCAGCCGACCTCAGCTCATCACTGGGTCCAGGTCCAACTGCATTTCACCCTCCCAAACTGCTTGCATCATGGATAGATCAGACACACCTTGGTCTCTTCAAGCTGCATGATGGTGGCCTGGCAGTCAGAAATGCCGTCATTGATGTAGTCAATGTTGGCTGCCAGCACCTCAATCTCCTCATTCAGCTCCTGCAGCCCCTTCTGCTCTTCAGGGTTCTCTGTCTGCAGCTTCTCCCTCTTCCCCAGAAGCATCTCCTGCATCAGTGACAGCTCCTCGCGTTTCTGAAAATGGGGAACAGAAGGCAGAATGTTTCCTCTTTGCCAATGTTGTGCAGCCCCTCCTCTGGCTCTCTTCCCAGGCCCTTTCGCCTTCTGCTCCAGTGAGAAACAGCCACTTTTCATCACCTTGATGAGTCGCTCCATATCCGACTCCAGATTGATGATGGTCATCCTCTGCATGACAATGTCAAAGACACGGCGCTCCAGGGACTGCCACTTCATGCGGGCTGTCTTACTGAAGGTCTGGTTTGCCCCTTTCTTTGCGAACTTCTTCCTGCAGATGGAAGTCATGTATGAAAAACTGAACAACATGATCTTGGAATTATCCAAAACCAGAGATGGAAAGGCTCTCAGATGTTGCTGGGCTCCACCTTGCATCAGTCACAGCAAAATGGCAAAGTTGGAGTCCAGCAATATCTGGAGGGATCCTCATCCCCTTGCTAAATATTCTGGGTCAATCCTACCCAAGCATACTGGGTGGATGGAAATGGGGGCTGCTCTGAATGCTGCCAAGTAAAGGAAGGCACATAGAAGCCAGTGGATTAGAAGACAAGACAGGCCTCAAAGGAATCTATATCAGATGGTTTTAGACACCTAGGTCAGTCTGACTTACCTAGAAAACTGCTAACTGGGCCAGTGTTTTACCTGACAGTTCGAGTCCCATTTGTGGAAGAAGGAGGGTCTCCCAGAAAGGTGTTGATTTTCCGATTCCATTGGCGCACAATGCTGGATACAGAGCGAGAACTAGATTCTGGCTCGGAGGAGGTGGTGCTGGTGGAGACCTCTACACCCGAGTCCAGCATGGTTTGCTTTTGATTCATTCTTCCAGCAACCCGATCAGACATAGGTTTGGCCAGACGGCGCAGAGCAGAGACCTGGACGACAACACAACAAAGCAGTCCAGAAGAATGGAAAATATAGAGGTGATAACAGACAGATACAGTCTTAAGCAGGGCTGCTACGTGAAAATATCTTCAAAGCGTTAGCTGCTCAGTCTCCAGCCTCAACCCTAGTCTCTATTCATGCCTAAGTGCAAAGTGTCTGCTCACAGTATCAGCTGTTTTTACAGATGTTCCCAGTAATGTTGGGCATTCATGGCAGAATGAGAAAAATGCCACAAGTTACCTACATATGAGCTCAAATATGTAACAAAACAAAGAACCATGTTGGCAATCACACACTAAGCCATGTGTGATGCAGCAAGTATGATGCCCAGTTGCTCTGGATAAAAAGAGAGTGGGCATCCTAAAGGGAGAGAGAGAAATCGTGTAACCCACGATAACTCAAAAGAATTTTGGATGCAAATGTGTCCTATCTTTTCTGTGATATATGAGGAAAATTGTAGCTTTGCCAGGGTTTTTTCTGGTGGGGGGATAGGTTGATTTTGTCTAGGCGAGGTATTACATTTGCCTTTGTATTTTGGAAAGGTGGTTTAATTATTTTTAAGAAAAGAAAGAAATAGTTTGTGCATCGTACACTGTTCCATGTAAAGAATTCCTGAGGAGTGGGAGATATATTCCTTGTCTGGTTCATTCATGTCTCCAGTCTGAGTGAGTGCTTATGACAGGTAAAAGCACACCCACCAAAAATATCCACAAGCCTTTCTGGATGACAGTGAGAGGCTTCCAATACAGCAAAAGCCAAGGCGAGTGTATTTTTAGAGGAAACTAAACACTTGCCTTTCTTGTGAGGAAGAAGGTCACCACTCACCTCTTGGGTTTTCCTGCGAAGTACAATCTCCTGCTGCCGCTTCTGAGATTCTAGAGCTCGAATCTGAAACTGCAGGCACAGCATGATAAAAGTTATTAACAAAACCCACAGGCAGAGGATCTCAATGGGAGTGATGTCAGTCTTGACTTAAATGGAGACAAATGTGTATTGGTGTAAAAGGAATGTATGGATGGAAGCCAACTCCTCCTAAACCACAATAGGTCTCAAGTTGCTTTGGAGCACAAGAGGGGAGAATGCTGCTGCTCTCATGTGCTGCTAGTAGACTTCCCATAGGCAACTGAGTTGGCCACTGTGAGCACAGGACGCCACACTAAATGGTCCTCTGGTCTTATCCAAGAGACCTCTTCTTATGTATTTGTAGACACACAAGTTATTTTTGTGAAGAGGGCTGAAGTGAGGCAGGCATTAAATCACAGCTTCGCTTTGCATGATTGCTCTGGTTATACTGAGCGTCTTCCCCTCTCCTGTCCACAAGCAGTCTATGGGGTTTTGTAAGCTCTACTAGGAAGAGGCTTCTCAAAGCTTGAGCAGCCACAAATGGTGCTCTTGCCCACCTCCTGCCTCCTCTGCTCCTTCTTCAGCTGGGCAATCTCCCGGTTCCTTTTCGTCTCTGCCAATCTGCGCCGCTGCTGCTCCTCACGCATTTGTTTCATCAGTGCCACCTGTAGGGCACAAACAGACTCAATGCCAAGCTTAATAACTGAGAAGCTGGCTTGCCCCAGTGACTATCTAGGGCCACTTTCCCCAGTTGGGTGCCCAAGCTGGGTGGGCTGAGGGTGGGAATCCAAAACACCCAGAAGGTGCCCTGTTGCTTGAACTTAGCCAAATGAAGAATTGCAAATTCCCAGGCAAGGTACCTTGGCTTTCTTCATCTCTGCCACTTCTGCATTCAGCTTCTTCAACTCTCGCTCGTATCGCGACTGGTTCTTGAGGAGGCGGGCATGCTCCTTCTGGGCTGCCTGCAACTTTTGCAGGTCCCTGTTCATCTCCCTTAGACGCTTCTCATAATCTGCTTTGATCTTGTTCGCCTTCTCTTCTGTGTAGCATTCCATGGAACCTGAGGGAAAGAACAAAGGAAGTATGTAGATCAGGAGGGATGGACTACAGCTCCCATCATCCATGACCAATTGGCCATGGTGCCTGGGGCTGATGGGAGTTGGAGTCCCAACAGCATCTAGGGGGCCACAGCTTCCACATCTCTGATGCAGATTTTAAGTACAGACAGACTGTACTCAGTGCCAATGTCACTGATTACACTTTAAGTGTATGGATAGAAATGTTGCTTAAGCAATCTTTCCACCCTTGTATCACAGCCTCGGTTGAGAATCCAAATGCAAAATCTTTCATTATCAGCAAACAGATGCTGTTCGAACTGTCAAAATCCAATTTCACCCCAGCGGCATGCCCTTACTCAGGTTTTGCAGGACCCTGTCCCTCTCTTGCTGTGTGTCACGGATCTTGTTCTGCAGTAGAATCAGCTTCTCCTCATACTGGTGCTTCAGAGTTTGCAGGCGCCGCTGGCTGTTCTCCAGCTCATCTATTAGCTTCTGTTTGATCTCAATCTCACAGGTCAGGTCAGCCAGATCAGCTTGGAAATTTGCTGCTAGATAAGACACACACACACAAAAAAACAAAAAAACAAAAAACCCTTCACCATCTTGAAGATAGTGGCATCTAAACTCATTACAACCTCCACTAAAGACTAGAATAAGTTGTATCCCTTTTATGGAATTGAATGCTAAGAGAAAAAGGCTAGCATACGTACAGGCATGTTTCTTGTGCTATTAAAAGGATTACAACAGTAGTTCCAGGTGGAAAGCATGGGGGCTGTGGATTCAACATTTCAAACCCAAATGAATTAAAGGCCATCCCCTCCAAATATCCTGAAGACTGTGTGTGTTGTATTCACCTAGAGACTGCACTAAGAGTCATCAGCCTTTCAACACTTGCTGCAGTAGCTTACCCTTTTCTTCAACATCCGAGTCAGAATCCACCAGGCTTTCTTCACTTCCCGAATCATCTTCCTCTTCCTCCTCCTGGCCGCCTTCTTCCTCACAGCCACTCTCATCCCGTTCCTCCTGAAAACAGAAGGTACAGTGATGAGAAAAAGGGGAGTGGTGATGCAGCTTGTTCCAAGGCATTGCAGTTCCAACCCTGCCCAACTTTTGGTTGCATATGGCAATCTGCTTTCCTTGGTTCGCTGATTTGTTCCTATGGCAATCCTTAATTCAATGCATTTTGCACTGCTTAGGAACACAGGCACCATGGGGATGTTACTTCTTACAGTTCATACTTCCTTTCATGAATCCAACCTTCTGTTCTTCTAGTTGACAAATTAGCGAAACACTAGAAGATCAGCGCTTACCATTGTCCTGAACATGGATTCAGAAATCAAGCCGGATGTTGGGAAGTGAAGGCAAAGAAGATCTAACACACATCACCAACAACTCAACCAAACCATGCTATATTTTTCCTGGCCATTCATTCTACTAACTTCCAAGCCTTTGTCTTTCAACTCTGCTCTTCAAAGCAAGGACCCTAGAATGTAATCCCAGTGTACACAGCGGGCCTACTGCATTCCCAAATGTTCATCTTAAATATATCAATATAACAACCCCCTGCCTCCAAAACAAGAATCAGTGCAGAAATAATGTAAAGACTGTGCACAGTCAAAATTATGCCTTTAGCAGTGCACTGTTATTTCCTCCAAAAATAAACAAATGTGTCAGTTTTAACCAATTTATTTAACTTTATTTAAATCAAAGAATGTTTCCATTTTGTAATGTGCACAGCCTCAGGCTTTTAAGAATCCAATGGCATCCCACAGAGACATTCGTGTTTTGAGACAGAAAAGCAAGACATACTTCACCTACTTAAAAAACACACCTATTTGTCAGCCTATTCTGCTCCATTTATCCAAGGGCGTTGTATTAAAGAGAAGCTTGCATTTCTCAGAGGAGATGGCAGGAGATATTTTATTGAGACTCAGGAGCCTAAGGAATTAGTATGGCAATTGCTGAGGTCAGGAAATGTTTGAAGCAGATGTTAAATCTGGCTGAAGGGAATAGCACTTGAGATGTCCTTTATGGCCAGTTTCTCATTATGCTGAAAAATTGCCACAGGACTCATCCTGATGCCACCAAAGGCCAGCAGTAAGTTTGGCACCCTTAATAATTGCTCAAAAGAACACAGAAGTTGTATGCAAGAGAAGGGCAAGATCTCTTACCTCTTCCACCTCATTCTCATCTGTCTCATCCACCTCATTTCCCTGCTGCATCCTCAACCTCTTCTTAAACCCTTCTTTCTCTGGGCTGCAGAAAAGAAGGCAGTTTTACATGAACATCTGTTTCTAAATCATTCATTTTTATTCCAGATTGCAGAGTCACAAAAAAAGGCCGTCAGGGCAGCTAAGAAAACAAACACCACTCCAATTACAACAAATCAAAACAAAACATTTCATCTGCATAACTAATGGGAAGGGGACATTTCCATTGGAAACACAATCATTTGCCTCTTCTGTGCTTTTTGGCTAAGCTCTTTGCCTGCAGTCACTCTCACAAAGCTTTCTGTAGGACAGCAAGTATTTACCATCCTTGCAATACAGAAGGGAAAATCAAAGCTCAACACAGAAAATGGTGTTGTATTGTAGATCATGAGAGCTGCATTACAGGAGTCTCACAGAGTGAGAATGATGGAAAACAAATATATTTTGATACTTCTAAAAAGTTCTGAAGGCCCAGCAGCCTAACCAGAATAGAAGGGTCCTGAGCAGATGCAAGACAGAGGAACCCATTTTACCTTTTCCTTCGCAGCTTAGTCTCCTTCTTCAACCGTTCTATATCTTGCTTGGCCCACTGGATGACTTCTGAGGCCTCAGCTTGCACAGAGGAGACAGGGCTATTTGAAGCTCCCAGCCCAGGAGATGAAGATATGCCCAGGGAATAAGGAAGCCTAGAGGAAACTCGTGATAGACCGCGACGCAGTGATTCATTCATAGCTTCGCTCTCCAAGAGCTTTGTCCTACAAAGAAGACAAGAGACAGCAGTCACCTCATAGTGCCCATTATATACTGAAGTCCTGACATGAAGACAGATTCCTATGGGAACTGTGGGGAGGAGAGTATCTGCTAGCCCAGAATCACGTGGATAGAAGTCCATCGGATGCCCTCATTGACATGCAACTGAGTAAGGGACTCAAAAAGACCATAAGGGAGGATGCTTAGCTCTTAACTCTTGACAGCACACAGTTTCATTAACAGGAATGAGCAGGACCCAAAAGGCAGTATAATGTTTAATCTCTTGACTCAGCAGAAAAGAAAATCTGAGGGAGAAAACACTCGAGGGGGGGGGCTGAGAAACCTTCTAGTTATGATAATTCTTGATGTGAGGGGGGGGGAAAGATGGAGTGCTGGGGGACACACACTCCTTCCTCATGATGTCTACAAAGCAGTTATCTCGGATAAAGGGAAGGGGCCATTGCTCTGCGGTAGAACACATGCTTTGCAATGAAGAAGACCCAAAATTCAACTCTTGGCATCTCCAGTAAAAAATGAAGCCCAAGTGCAAGGTGCTGGGAAGATCATGGAGTGACACTGTCAACTGGAGCCATTTGTACTTATCAAATGCAAATTTTGATATCCTGAAATTCTGTTAGTCAGAACATCAGAAAACCAAGGAAGTCATGCTACTACTATGATTCTTTGACATTCTGAAGCAGAATATTCGACTACCATATTACTTGCATCTGCTTCTATCCCCCCAGCTCCATGCTTGGCTATCTGCATCCCTGTATCCCTCCTATCGCATGCCTGGCCAGCAGGGGGCTCATGCTGCTGCATGCTTGTGTACTTGTGGCAGCTTCAGCTGTTTGTTCCTGCATCTGTGGCATACTGCTGCAAGTTTATGTGCATGTAGGACCTGCAACTGCTGCTCTCAACTTTATTGCCTTTGTGTGGCTGTGAAAGCCACCACTGCAGACAAAGAGGTTATTTTAGGCACCTTTGTTTACAATGCCCATACCCTGGGAGGGCACAAGTGAATTTATAAGTACCACAAGTCTCTTATATCAAAGGGTTCTTTCTTTTTTATTATTATTAACAACGATTTCTTAGTTTACAAAAATACGTGCATTGTCTCTTTTTTAAAGTTGTGTTTTCTACAGATTAGTTTCATTTGTTGTGAGACATTAGTGTTGCAAGCAGTATTAGGTTGGGAAGAAAAGAGGGGGAGGAAGGACAAGAGGGGATCGTGAGTGGGGTGGGGTGGGCAATGCTTCTATTCTTCTCCTTAGTGTATGCGTGGGGTTTTGTGTCAGCATCACTTGTATGGGTTCTCTTATTATTCGCAAAGGGTTGTTTCTGATCCTAAAGTGCTCATCATTTGAAGATTACAGTACACAAAGGGCAAGAAGCCACAGGGGTGAAAGTACTGGCTTAGAGCTACTTCAATAGTCACCAGTTTAGAAGTTAGATAGTTTTCTCTTTCAAGAAGGTATGGCCACTTGCAAAAAGAATAAAAGTGGGTGGGGGAATCCAGAGGACCACTCCGTCTTACCTGAGCTCCTCTATTTCCCGGATGTAGTTCTGAATCAGAGCACCAATAGCCTCGTTGCCATCACCTGGGAGAAAAATGACACAAAGACACAGAAATTAAATTCTAAAAAATAATGGAGAAAGATAGACAAGAGCAAGCAAGAGCCCAAAGAAATCAGAGAAGCCCAATTGCTACGGAAAACAAAAGCAGCCAGGCTAAGCATGCTTCACTGAACATATGGCTAACATCATGCACAGCTTGGTCCTTCATAAAACCAACCCTGAAATCTGTAAACGCAATTTTTCTCTTGTGACTTTAAGGAATATATAGTAATATATAGTGCCATTTGTATGCTGTCTAATGAAATGGTCTAGAGACCCCAACCAGTTGCCCCTCTCAGCCTCACCTGCCTTGGCAAGAATCAAGTTGGCTTCTTGGCTCATCAAGTGTGTGACACGGACGTTGATGGCATCAATAGCTTCTTGCATGGCCTTCACACGCATACGCAAAGTGGTGTTCTCCTTCTGCAGCATGGCATTTTCCTGGAACAGGTCACTATAGCCTTCAGAGCCATCCTCTCCAATGACACGCTTACCCTTTGGAGACAGAAATGAATGAAAACACCAGTAGGAAGGGCTGGAGAGCACATGGACTGGGGTGGAAGACAGTCGCCCTGTGTGCATCCCAATTAAGGGGCATAATCATCACAGTATACGTCAGTCATCTCAAGCCTTCTGCCTGTGATGGCAGTCTTGCACATACAGGAAGGCTCTGAAGCTGGGGTACTTTTCAAGTATTTTATAATCCACCTTCCTGCAGAAATAGTTCAGTGACTGCCATGTTTATCAAACCAGCTCTTAAAAGAGTTGCATAAAAGATTTATATTTATGTTTATACGCCAGTCTTTGATCATTGGGGCTTCTCAAAGTAGAGTATTGCATTTTAAAAGACAGTAAAATCTATCACCTGAACTTTCTAAAAAGAGATTAAAAGACCACCAATAAAAGTGCACCACAAGCAACAGCTTGTGGCAAAATCATGCAATGGTGGACTTTGAGCTCTCAAATTTCAGCGGCGCACTATATACTGGGTTTGCTCTCTCCAAAGTAGGTTGCTATCATCCCCATTTTGAAGATGGAGAAACTAAAGCTTAAAGAGACCTGCCAATGTTCATCTATAGCAAATCATCTGCAGAATTAGAACTTTTCAAATAAAAAAAGGGAGTAGGCCAAATATGGCATTAAGATATTTTCTCCAGGGGAATTTAACTGGGTGTGCAACATTCCTAAAGAGAGGGAGAGAGAGAAAACACCACTAGGGACAAGGGACTTCAAGTGCTGAAGTTGTGCCACTCAATGCAAAATGCTCCTGACATCTCCTTACCGCCTTGTACTCCATGAGCTCCATCTGAAGGCGAGCAATTTCAGCTCGCAGGGCACTGATCTGCTGGCTCGTCTTATCCTGGTTCACCACCACTTTGTTCTTGATGTTGCGAGCTCTGTTGGCATACTTAAGGGTATTCAGGGTCTCCATAAAATCCCGATCAGAAGGGCTCACACAGGCAATCATTATGGTTTGGCTACAAAGGTGGGAGAACAAATAAGGTCAAGCACAGGAGGGCTGCTAGTCTCCCTGCCACATCAGCTACCTCCCAGGGAGAGTAGCAGTGCAGAGGTCAAGCCATTTCCAATGCTGGCAGTCTGGCAGCTCAAACCAACCAGCTGCAGAGGGCTCCAATTTGTTGAATGGTGAATCAGAGTTCAGACAAGAGTTCTGAACAAGCTTGCCCCCCCCCCACTTGCCTTGGGCAAATTACCAAATAGTCTGCCAAACAGAAAGCAGGAGTTCCCAAATCCAAAAGGCCATGATAAGACAGACAAAGAACATGAAGGAAATTGGGGGGGGGGGGAGAGAAGGGCGGCTGTAAAAGGAAACAGACTAGAAAAGAGGGGGAAAGAAGAGATTACAGTGATCCCATGTTAGGAGGTACAGTTGCCAGAATTCTGGATCAAAAACAGCTTAGGCATATTATGTAAGCATCTATTCTGCAAAAGCCAATAATCACATTTGGAACCCAGGAAGAAATGAGGCCCGGGATGTGTTTAAAATACGTTCCTTGGCACATCTGCTGTGGCCTTGCCTTGGGACCTCTCATTAAGGGCTCCCATGGCCAGGCAGCATTAATTATAACACACAATCCAGACAGCCTCCTCACCTGCAACCCCCAATGCCAGTAACCCTGCAAAAGCTACAAACAGCTGTTCTAGTGCCTCTTTCCATTACCTGTTGCCACCAAGGGAATCTTGGAGGAGCCGAGTCAGCTTTGAATCTCGGTAGGGCACATGCAAGGCTCTCTTGCTCTGGTCCCCAAGGGCGCTGATGACGTTTCCCAGTGCTAGCTATCAAGAAAAAGGACAAGTCGGCGAATAAGAGATGGACACTTTCCCTTGTGCCTTTATTCTGGCACCATACATTCCTCATAGAAAAGTCAATGCAGCTTCAAGCAGTTATTCCCTTTTTGAGATCACAAATCAGCCCCCCACCCCCACTTACTGGGCTGAAGCTTATACTGGTAGACACCATGACTTTTCCATTACAGGGATGAACCATATAAACCACATAAACTTTGTTGCTATATCACCATGACTGAACCTTAGTCTACAGAATCTGGCTTTCACAGAAGCATCCATCCAACCAACCCTAGAGAATCTCAACTCATTTTTAAAAAGATACAAGCACCTATATTATACCTGTATTATACAAGCTTGCAAATGTCACTGTCACTTTCAGACTATACTATAGTTCCATTTCCACAATTCCCTGTCTCTTAAATTTTCAGTGGCTTCATGGACAGAGACTTGCCCACCAAAAACAACATAGATTTCATGGCGTATCCATGGGGTCAGCAACCTAAGGCCCAAGAGCCACAAGTGGCCCCCAGGGGTCGTTTAACTGGCCCACGGGCCGCCCTCGAACTAGGCCGCCTGCTCATCAAGTCCCTGTGCACTGCGCTAAACCAGCGCAACACAGTGCGGGGACTCGCTTCAGTGTGCGTGCGCTCTGGACCATGGAAGGATCTCCGCTGGAGTGAACTGGCCCAGACAAGGTAAACCTTGCCGACCTCTGGCATATCCCATTCCATGAAGCCTGCATGCTACAACAAAAAGCTCTTACATGCCTAGACCAAGCCATGGCTTGTGCAAACTCCAAAACAGTAACAAAGGTGCTGGACAATACTTGGTTTGCCAGGCAAAATAGTACAGGACCTGGCACTTGTTGTCGTATCCAATGCTGACCCATTTGTATGATAAAGGCCATACCAAACCACAGTTGATGGAGATCCCTTCCTTGGCTCTCTCGCCAGTTGCACCAGTCCGCTTCAACCTCTCTGAGCCAGCCAGGTCAACAAAGTGGAATTTGGCTGTTCGTGTCTCATATTCACTAGAAGGCTGGGATCCCTCCAGGAGACTGTTGGAGTCTCCATTCACCTGCAATCGGAACACATCCCAGAATCATTTCCCGAGTTGTAATGGATTCTGCAACTGCTCCACCCCTGTCCTCCCCTTCACACGTCCTTACCAAGTGTACAGGGGAGCAGACGCGCATTTGGCAAAGGTAGATGGTGAAGATGGCATGGGAGCGAGAGCTCTGGACATTCATCTGGGTGCTGGCTGTGGTTCGAGAGAGAGCTCCCTGCTTCAGGCACTGAATCAGCTGCAGGGACAGAAGAGATTAGGGATGGTGGTTGCGCTTTCTACCAACATGCACACACAAAAGCAAACGGAATCATTTTTCAACCTTGCTTGAACAGGCGTACAGCTTCCTGCTGGACACTATTTCATCATTAGCTCTTGCGAAAGTCAACCCCCTACAGGACTATAACAATCAGGATCCAGCTAGATCTGACATGCAGTCGTGTGTCTCTTTCTCCTGACAGGGCCGGAAGGGAGAGTGACGAGGCGGCCAGGTTGGTAGGGTTGTTCAACTCTGTCTCCTCTGGATTTTTCTCAGCTCAAAATCGTACACACTCCTAGCTCCAAATACAATTTAGTACTTTGTTGAGGAGGTGTTAATTATTACCATTGGATCACTTTTATAAACTAAATTATACAGCGACAGAAAACCTGGCGAGACAAGATTTGCAAATTTATCTGAACTTACAAGATTTCTTGGAAAGACTGGCTTTCTTTGATAAAGTCATGACTGTGGTGCCTGTTTTCTAATGCTTCTAATTGCTTCCTATTTCACTGTCAATATGTCAATGACAGAGATAGTGAGATACTGATTTTGTCTGTTTCTTCTTATAAATATGCAAGAACACACAAAGGAACATACACAACAATATAAATATTTATGTATAAATAATACGTCTGACACACAAACCCCTCCGCTGCTTAGGCTCAGGCATTTCAAGCACATGAACCACAGCTCTGTGGAGGGTAAACTACAGTTTCCAGTATTATCTGGAGGAATTCTTAAAATGTATTTTAAGTTTATGGTGTAGGTGCAATCCATGTGCACATGCACACACACACACACACACACACACACACACACTCCTATTGAAGATTCTACTTCAGGCAAATGTCCACAGATGCTTATCCCATAATAAATTTGTCTGTCTTAGTTGTTTATAATTAAAAAGAAATCCAGTCAACATTATATAAAATTAAGCTTGTCCAACAAATGCACTAGCAATTTAAAGCTCACGCCAAATAAGACACCTAAGAATGGAGATCTGGGATTACCGTATTTTTTGCTCTATAAGACTCACTTTTTCTCTCCTAAAAAGTAAGGGGAAATGTCTGTGCGTCTTATGGAGCGAATGCATGCTGCGCAGCTATCCCAGAAGCCAGAACAGCAAGAGGGATCGCTGCTTTCGCTGCGCAGCTATCCCTCTTGTTGTTCTGGGTTCTGAGATTCAGAATATTTTGTTTCTTGTTTTCCTCCTCCAAAAACTAGGTGCATCTTATGGTCTGGTGCGTCTTATAGAATGAAAGATACAGTACCTATTAAATTAAATGACGACACTTGTCAGATTCAGAAGATAGCACAAGAAAGCTTCATATGTAACATACTGAACTGAGTCAAACCCTTGGGTCCCTCTAGCTCAGTACTGACTGGCAGAAGATCTTCGGGATTTTAGACAGTGGTCTCTCCCAGCCCTACCTGGAGATGTCAGGGATTGAATTTGGGATCTTCTGAATGAAGGGTGCTGTACCACTCAACAACAGACCCTCTTCTCAAAAGGGTGGGGAGATACAGAAAGGGCAGTTTCAACAGAAATGTCTTTACATCCCTTTCAGGGGTCTTTATTACAGACACCCTGTATGGCTAAGGACTCCATGAACTAATAGAAAGATAACCGTTTTCTTAAAGGTCTGGAGTGAAATACAAATGTGATCTCCCCATGCCACACTCTTCCTAAAGACTTTCAACTACCAAAATGAGGCATTTTTCAATACTGCAGAAATTGCCTTGGTGAGTTTTAAGGTATTGGGCAGGACAGTAGTTTCACTGCACATGAAGACCAAGCGCCAAAAGGGAAAATAGAAGGAGAGTGCCAGTGTTTCAGCTTCTTTGTAATTAAGACACTCTTTTATCTAAACTCTGAAACAATTGCCCAAGAGCTCTGGCAATATATGAACGGTGCATCTGAATCAAATGAAGGCCATGATATCTAGAAACTCACGGCGAATTATGGGAAGAGATATTAATTTCTCACTGTAAGAAATAATTAAATGTTCAATTGAATTGTGATAGAGTTCTGAAAAGGGCTTTTTTGTCCTATTTGCATAAGCAAATTATTTCCTATATTTTTAGCCTGCTTTTCAGACAAATTATTGTCTCTGAAAACGACATGCATCAATTTAAAAAAGAAAGTGACACACAGAAAAAGCCTGCCCATCAGGTTTGCAGACTGAAAAAAGACACATACAAGAACTCAGTGAAGGAAAAAATTATGAGAGGGGCACATTCTATATGGATTGCTAGATGGTGTATATTCCTTAGTCTTTGGGGAGGTGGAAATATTGTTTGTGCTTGGGGCTCCTGCTGGAAAAATTGTGGTTCAAGGGGAGCATTCTTGCCCATGTGGTTGAGTTGGCTCAAAATTAAATATTTCTGGTATGGGATATTAAATATAATGACTTTAATTACTAGTTATGTATTGCCTTTCAGGGCCAAAGGAATTCTGACTTGGAATATTAAAATTTCATATTCAAGAAAAGCATTGTCATATCTATTGATGGTTGCTAGGTTATGCATTGCAAATGTCTGGAAACATGCAGAAATTCCCAGTGATTAAATGTGGTTTAAAAAGATACCAGACCCTAACCGTTATGGAGAAAGTGATGAGTATCTTTCAAATGAGAGAAGTGAGGATTCATGCAGATAAATTCACTAGAATAATGGCAGCTGTTCATTGCCTTCCAGAAGAATCACACTCATGAACAGATATTTGCAAATATGGATTGTGAATTATTTGATTTGTTTTATATTGTGAATGAATTTTATACGGTATTTGCAGGTTGTGTGTGATGGTGTGAGCTTCGTCTTAACATTCGGGAACTACCAGTATATTATTTACTATAGAAAGATCTATGCCACCATGCAGTATAAATTCCCAGAGTGGGAACTTCTGTGAAACAAAACCCTTTCCTGGCTGCTATTGTCTTGCAGGTGGGAAGGGGTGGCTCTATCTTCTTTGCTGATGGAAAAGAAGTTTTACGCATTACATAAAATAATAATTGTAACTGGGGAAATAGATCCAGGACCTGCATATAAATTCTAGCAGCTCTCAGACCCTGCAAAAGAACAAAGAGACTATCTACTATCCAGGATCACTGTGATAACAAATATTAAAGGTAAAGGTACCCCTGCCCGTACGGGCCAGTCTTGACAGACTCTAGGGTTGTGCGCTCATCTCACTCTATAGGCCAGGAGCCAGCGCTGTCCGGAGACACTTCCGGGTCACGTGGCCAGCGTGACAAGCTGCATCTGGCGAGCCAGTGCAGCACACGGAACACCGTTTACCTTCCCGCTGGTAAGCGGTCCCTATTTATCTACTTGCACCTGGGCGTGCTTTCGAACTGCTAGGTTGGCAGGCGCTGGGACCGAACGACGGGAGCGCACCCCGCCGCGGGGATTCGAACTGCCAACCATGCGATCGGCAAGTCCTAGGCACTGAGGTTTTACCCACAGCGCCACCTGCGTCCACTGTAACAAATATTAGTGAAACTCATAATGCTCCCAGCCATATTCTATATTCCAATATATAGCATATTCTATATTCCAACATATAGAATAGCAGCTAGAAAAAAGGGATCATCATTTCCACCAAGGGGGAGAAATGTGGAAAAACCACCAGAAAGTTTAAGGAGGATATTCCGCATTATTAAAAGCAAAATGCATAAGAATTAGAGCGCTGACTCATGGCTGAAAAGTGGGTTATGTTATGGACTCCACCCAAATAAAGCACGCAAACAACTGAGTTTTGCCATGCAGACTGGTAGCATCTGCAGTGAGATCAGGATACAATTAAGCAGCAGCCTGAAACACAGCTAAGGAATTCTCATCTCATAATGTTTCCATGGGAAAACAGCCATGGCTTATTCTTGCAGCACATACTCAAGATCACTTACAGCTTAGAACTCTTTAACCACCTAATAAGATTTGCACCACATGCACACCCACTGCAACACACCCACTCACTTACATTAGACGCATAATGATGGCTGAAGTGGAGACTGTTATCTTAAGCCCTCTCCAGGCATTCAAAAAACTCACGAGGGCATAAACAGTTGAGTGCCAGTAGAGCTGCACACACCAGCGCTGCCTCCAATGTCTCTGCTGGCTCCACCCAACCTGCCCCCAATGTCCCTGTTCCTGTTGGCTCCATCCAACAGGCTGAACATGCTTAGAATCCCACAATCAGGAATGCCTAAAGAGGACTTTCATTGAACATGGAATCAAGACATTGTAGCTACTAATTAACATGAAACACAAAGCTGAGGTCTAATGTATGAGGAGTTGGTCACGTACCTCGTCCTGCGAGCCAATGAGACGTGATGTGACACCTGTGGTGTAGATCCCACCACTGGTATCTTCATGGATTTTGATGTTTGACTTCCGGTGGCGGCAATCAGGATCTCGTGAGCTATCAAAGAGGTCCAGGATCTCTTCGTTATACAGCTGAATAAAGACATGGGTGGGGGGTGGAATTGATACTAGGTTCATTGATTCATGAAGGGCTCCACAGGTACAAAATGATAGAAATGGGTATTTGGGCTTGCAGTGTGCCTTGAAGATCAAAGCAGAGCTAGACATTTAGCTAAGGATTGGCCCTGTTGATTACAGCATGAGAGTTTGGTTCTGTAGTCAACAGCAAATCTGCAATTCTCTTCTAACAGGAATTCGAATCACAGCAATTTTATGGGGAACAGGGCTAGTAACAGGAAGAAAAACTGGAAGAACTAGAGATTCATAATCGTCTGGAGCAATAAATGTAAAAGCATGGAATTCTTCACTCCTCTCACCACTGACAAGCCTACCAGAGAGATGAAATCTTAAGTTGGCTGAGGCTGCTGCATCCCCAGACAGAACAAAGCAAGCAGGTCTGCATCATTATTGCGATCTGTTGACTGATGCATGAATCAGCTGCATTTCCTCTATGAAAATGTTTACTCATTGTCAAGGTCAAGTGACGTCTTTAATGGGTCTTCTGTGCATGATAGCATAGTGGTGGTATAAAAGGAAGCACGTGCCAAGTTCTGCCCCTGAGTGAAGGAGCATCATGCCCCCTCATTTTCAAATGCAAATTCTAATTTAATCTCCTTCACTTACTCTTGGATGTACAGGCATGCCCCATGCTGTAATTTGTATGTTAACCCAGACCCAGATTAAACTGTGCCCCTACACTGCACTTAAAGGTACCCTTGCCCGTACGGGCCAGTCATGTCCGACTCTAGGGTTGTGCGCCCATCTCACTTAAGAGGCCGGGGGCCAGCGCTGTCCGGAGACACTTCTGGGTCACGTGGCCAGTGTGACAAAGCTGCTCTGGCGAGCCAGCACCAGCGCAGCACATGGAAACGCTGTTTACCTTCCCGCTATAAAGCGGTACCTATTTATCTACTTGCACTTAGGGGTACTTTCGAACTGCTAGGTGGGCAGGAGCTGGGACCGAAAGACGGGCGCTCACCCCGGCGCGGGGATTTGAACCGCCGACCATGCGATCGGCAAGCCCTAGGCGCTGAGGTTTTAGCCACAGCGCCACCCGCGTCCCACACTGCACTTACTGCTGCAGAAATTAAAGAAGCCCACTTCATTCAGTAGCCTCAGGCATACCTGTATGTGAACTTATGCCCTCCTTCTCACACTCCCATCTCCCTACAGACACCAAGGCACCTACCTCCAAGAACTGTGCACTGACTTTAAACTCTGGTACTGGCACACCCTGTTCCTGCGCTGCCCGCTTGCGCTCCTCTATGCCAGAGAATAGGTGGGTAATGGCCCGTGGAATTATGCCATTCTCATCTTCGGAAATGTTCACGTCAAAGCCGGTTCCCATGGTGTACGTCTTACCTGCACCTGTCTAAAAGTAAACGGAAGAGATGCTTTATGAGAGCCCAGCTTCACTGTGAGGTGGTGAAAAAATGTAAACACCAACAACTGGGAAACACTGGCCTGCGAGTACTCCAATTGGAGAACAGCCTTTACCAAAGGTGTCATGGGCTTTGAAGATGCTCAAACTCAGGGAGAAAGGGGGAAACATGCTAAGAGGAAGGCACACTTGGCAAACCCTCACTATGATCGACTCCTGCCCAGAAAACTATGCCCCCACTGTGGAAGGAGGTGTGGATCTAGAATTAGCCTCCACAGTCACTGTTAAAACTGTGTTTATGGAAGACAATCTTACTCGGCTACAGGTGATCGCCAAAGAAGAAGATGATGATTCCCTGGGACTCTCCACTACTCAACTCTGCTGCTCCTTAAACCCACCACACAGAGGGAGGTACCTGAGCAAGTTTTAACTCAGAGGAGACCCACCGAAATGAATGGACCTGTGTAAAACTTAAGTTGAATAGAACTCAGAATCTTTACAAACCCTTTATTGCACTTTATAATTCCAGTTCAGACACTCCATTCCCCATACTTATCCTGGTTATTCAGCCAGCTTAGAGTCCACGTACATCTATTGCAGAGCAGAGGGAAATAATATCACCATGGCTGGTAACTCAGTGTAAAATTAAACTGAGCATTGTATTCCATGCTAATTTGCAATTATTTTATTTTGTTTACAAGCCACTCTTCTTACACCTAATTAGTTCATTTCAAATTCTCTTCTACCCTTCCCAAGGGGGTGGTGAAAGCCAGTGTGGTGCAATGGCTAGGGCAATGGGCTGCGACGTGGGAAACCTAGCTCCAGATCCTCACATAGCTATGAAACACACTGGGTGGCCTTGAGCAAGCCAATGTTTCCCAACCTCACCCACCGCATAGGGTTCTTGGGAGGCTAAAGTGCCACTACTGAGGTGTTGTCTCTTGGAAGAAGGGTGCAAACCAACAAAGGCTCAGCCAATGATTGTTGGAGGGGTGGGGAGAAACAACAGTGGGATAAACACAACAACAATGTGATATGAAATGGCTATGAGATATGATATGGAAGAAAAGGAAATGATCCAATAGAAAAAATGATATAAAAGCAGAATATAATGCCCAAGCTAAAATATGCTATATGTTATAGTGTTGGACTAAGACCTGCGACACTGGGGTTCTGGTCCATGACCTGGGACACTGGTCCAAGACCTGGGACACTGGGGTTCTGGTCCCCACTTGACCATGAAGCTAACTAGGTGACTTTAGGGCAGTCACTCTCTCTCTGCCTAACCTACCTCACAGGGTTGTTGTGAGGATACAATAGGTGGGGAGAACCATGTACAACACCTTGAGCTCCTTGGAGGAAAGGTGGGATATATAAGCGCACAAAATAAATTAAGAAGGACAAAGAAAGAAAGACAGCAGGACATTTCATTTTCAATCTTGCATGGCTGAAGTCCTGCCAGTTGAAATTGTGCAAATTAAATGCACACAAGATGGAGACTTTAAAAGCTCTTTCTGCATCAGGTTTCCCCAGCGCAGAGTTTTAAAGGTCTTTGGCTTGTTTGGAAGGGGAGAGGGGTAAAGCCTTCTCAGAAAGGTAAGGAAGCCTTGCAGGGGCAGTTCAAGAACACACATCTTTGCATGTATGTGCCATCTCTGGAACGTGACATCCCCCCCCCAACGTATGATCGTACTGTATTTCTTCATATAGTGCATAGTTTAACTATGCAAATTGCTCCCAGAAGCGGTAGTAATGTCCATCAACTTGGAAAATAAGGATATCAATGGCTACTAGACATGATGGCTATTTTTTATCTGCCTCTGCCTCTGAACGCCAGTTGCTAGGAATCACAAGTTGGGCAGCACTGGTGCACTCAGGTCCTGCTTGTGGTTTTCCCACAGGCATCTGGTTGGCCACTGTGGAAGCTGAACCAAATGGGCCGCTGACCTGATCCAGCAGACACTTCTTATGTTCTCAAGGTTGGCATAATTCTGATGCAAATGGTAGCCTGAACCACTGCACTAATGAACTGGGTGTGTCCACCAGCTACCAGCTGGCTTTTTGTCATCATCAGCATTGACTCCAGGTATTGCAGTGTCCTTGGGCAAGTGTGTGCAACCCCATGTGTGGGCCCTCCTCCTCCTCCCCGCTGTCACCACTGCTCATTTGTTGACCATCTCCCATTGGGCTCAATCTGCTCAGCTTCCCAGAGGGATCAAGCAACACAAACACAGTCTGCTTATCTATTTCCTCACTCATTGTTGTTGTTTAGTCGTTTAGTCGTGTCCGACTCTTCGTGACCCCATGGACCAGAGCACGCCAGGCACCTCTGTCCTCCACTACTTCCCGCAGTTTGGTCAGACTCATGCTGGTAACCTCGAAAACACTATCCAACCATCTCGTCCTCTGTCGCCCCCTTCTCCTTGTGCCCTCCATCTTTCCCAGCATCAGTGTCTTCTCCAGGGAGTCTTCTCTTCTCATGAGGTGGCCAAAGTACTGGAGCCTCAACTTCACGATCTGTCCTTCCAGTGAGCACTCAGGGCTGATTTCCTTCAGAATGGATGCGTTTGATCTTCTTGCAGTCCATGGGACTCTCAAGAGTCTTCTCCAGCACCATAATTCAAAAGCATCAATTCTTCGGCGATCAGCCTTCTTTATGGTCCAGCTCTCACTTCCATACATCACTACTGGGAAAACCATGGCTTTAACTATACGGACCTTTGTTGGCAAGGTGACGTCTCTACTTCTCAAGATGCTGTCTAGGCCTGTCATTGCCCTTCTCCCAAGAAGGAGGCGTCTTTTAATTTCGTGGCTGCTGTCACCATCTGCAGTGATCATGGAGCCCAAGAAAGTAAAATCTCTCACTGCCTCCATTTCTTCCCCTTCTATTTGCCAGGAGGTGATGGGACCAGTGGCCATGATCTTCGTTTTTTTGATGTTGAGCTTCAGACCATATTTTGCGCTCTCCTCTTTCACCCTCATTAAAAGGTTCTTTAATTCCTCCTCACTTTCTGCCATCAAGGTTGTGTCATCTGCATATCTGAGGTTGTTGATATTTCTTCCGGCAATCTTAATTCCAGCTTGGGATTCATCCAGCCCAGCCTTTCGCATGATGTATTCTGCATATAAATTAAATAAGCAGGGAGACAAAATACAGCCTTGTCGTACTCCTTTCCCAATTTTGAACCAATCAGTTGTTCCATATCCAGTTCTAACTGTAGCTTCTTGTCCCACATAGAGATTTCTCAGGAGACAGATGAGGTGATCAGGCACTCCCATTTCTTTAAGAACTTGCCATAGTTTGCTGTGGTCGACACAGTCAAAGGCTTTTGCATAGTCAATGAAGCATAAGTAGATGTCTTTCTGGAACTCTCTAGCTTTCTCCAAAATCCAGCGCATGTTTGCAATTTGGTCTCTGGTTCCTCTGCCTCTTCTAAATCCAGCTTGCACTTCTGGGAGTTCTCGATCCACATACTGCTTAAGCCTTCCTTGTAGAATTTTAAGCATAACCTTGCTAGCGTGTGAAATGAGTGCAATTGTGCGGTAGTTGGAGCATTCTTTGGCACTACCCTTCTTTGGGACTGGGATGTAGACTGATCTTCTCCAATCTTCTGGCCACTGCTGAGTTTTCCAAATTTGCTGGCATATTGAGTGTAGCACCTTAACAGCATCATCTTTTAAAATTTTAAATAGTTCAGCTGGAATACCATCACTTCCACTGGCCTTGTTATTTGCAGTGCTTTCTAAGGCCCATTTGACTTCACTCTCCAGGATGTCTGGCTCAAGGTCAGCAACCATACTACCTGGGGTGTACGAGACATCCATATCTTTCTGGTATAATTCTTCTGTGTATTCTTGCCACCTCTTCTTGATGTCTTCTGCTTCTGTTAGGTCCTTACCACTTTTGTCCTTTATTATGGTAATCTTTGTACGAAATGTTCCTTTCATATCTCCAATTTTCTTGAACAGATCTCTGGTTCTTCCCATTCTGTTGTTTTCCTCTATTTGTTTGCATTGCTCGTTTAAGAAGGCCTTCTTGTCTCTCCTTGCTATTCTTTGGAAATCTGCATTCAATCTCCTGTATCTTTCACTATCTCCCTCGCATTTTGCTTGCCTTCTCTCCTCCGCTATTTGTAAGGCCTCGTTGGACAGCCACTTTGCTTTCTTGCATTTCCTTTTCATTGGGATGGTTTTCGTTGCTGCCTCCTGTACAATGTTACGAGCCTCCATCCATAGTTCTTCAGGCACTCTGTCCACCAAATCTAAATCCTTAAACCTGTTCCTCACTTCCACTGTGTATTCATAAGGGATTTGGTTTAGATTGTATCTTACCGGCCCAGTGGTTTTTCCTACTTTCTTCAGTTTAAGCTTGAATTTTGCTATAAGAAGCTGATGATCTGAGCCACAGTCAGCTCCAGGTCTTGTTTTTGCTGACTGTATAGAGCTTCTCCATCTTTGGCTGCAGAGAATATAATCAATCTGATTTCGATGCTGCCCATCTGGTGATGTCCATGTGTAGAGTCGTCTCTTGTGTTGTTGGAAAAGCGTGTTTGTGATGACCAGCTTGTTCTCTTGACAGAACTCTATTAGCCTTTGCCCTGCTTCGTTTTGATCTCCAAGGCCAAACTTGCCAGTTGTTCCTTTTATCTCTTGCCTCCCTACTTTAGCATTCCAATCCCCTATAATGAGAAGAACATCCTTCTTTGGTGTCACTTCTATAAGGTGTTGTAAGTCTTCATAGAATTGGTCAATTTCAGTTTCTTCAGCACCAGTAGTTGGTGCATAAATTTGGATTACTGTGATGTTAAAAGGTCTGCCTTGGATTCGTATCGAGATTATTCTATCATTTTTGAGATTGTATCCCAGTATAGCTTTCGCCACTCTTTTGTTGACTATGAGGGCCACTCCATTTCTTTTACGGGTTTCTTGCCCACAGTAGTAGATGTGATGGTCATCCGAACTGAATTCGCCCATTCCCGTCCATTTTAGTTCACTGATGCCCAGGATGTCAATATTTATTCTTGCCATCTCATTTTTGACCACCTCCAACTTACCCAGGTTCATGGTTCTTACATTCCAGGTTCCTATGCAATATTTTTCTTTACAGCATTGGACTTTCCTTTCGCTTCCAGGCATATCCGCAACTGAGCGTCCTTTCAGCTTTGGCCCAGCCGCTTCATCAGCTCTGGATCTACTTGTACTTGCCCTCCGCTCTTCCCCAGTAGCATGTTGGATGCCTTCCGACCTGAGGGGCTCATCTTCCAGCGTCATAACTTTTATATGCCTGTTGTCTTTGTCCATGGAGTTTTCTTGGCAAGGATACTGGAGTGGCTTGCCGGTTCCTCCTCCAGGTGGATCACGTTTGGTCCAAACTCTCCACTATGACCTGTTCATCTTGTGTGCCCTGCTCGGCGTAGTTCATAGCTTCTCTGAGTTCTTCAAGCCCCTTCGCCACGGCAAGGCAGTGATCCATGAAGGGGTCCTCACACATTACACAAGACAAAACCTCTGAGGCTGACATCTTCAAGTGATCTCCACATTTTAAAAAAAAAAAAAACAAAAAACAAAATTTTGTGAAGCAGCCCTTTGTTTGGTTATCATTGGGTCTCTGAAAGGTGATAGAAGGCACTCACTATATGTGAATGCACCAACCTTACAGAATTAAGGTCAATTTTAAAAATTGCAGTCAGAAGATCTATTTTGCTGCTATTAATATTCATGCCTTTGGAGAAAACCTCTGTTCCAGCTGTTCAGATGCAGCATATGTCACTCTTAATAAATATCTATGACCAAGACAGCCTTCAGCAGCTAAATACTGGAGAAACTTGTGGGGTGACTGGCAAAAAAATCTTGGGAAAGCCCCAGTGTGGTTCTTCAAGTCAAACCAATACATTGGGTTGTATTTAATTTAGCACTCTGGTTTCTCTTCAGTTCATATAAATCTTTTGCCTTTTCAATGTAGCACTAAAGAGATTTTCCCATCAGTGCAAGCATTTCTGCTTGTGCAATGGAACAGGCTCTTCTTCTCCTGCATGTTGTTCTAATGGATCTCCCCACCCCAGCAGCAGATTTGGGGAGAGAACAGAGTAACATGGGGGAAAATCCCATTGTACCAGCTTCCACTAACCCGCTGGCTTGCTCTGCTTCTCTAAGCAAGTGTCTGAAGTGGGTTTCACCTTTTCTGAAGGTTTAAGAAATTAGTTTATAATGCAAAGTATCAACCCTTCCCCCAAAAACTGCACTTACATTTCCCCACTACCAGCTCCCCTCAAGCCACCACCATCTTTGAAGCAATTATTTCACAAACATAAAAACATGGTTCCATCTTTGGGCAATTTGGCCTCAGAAAGCACCTGTAGGGTTCTGAAGAGGTTTAGATGTGCACCCACTGAATTCTAGAATACGGTATGAAGGCACGTGATGCAGCAACTTTGCTGGTCTGTGCTTGGATAGCAGGCTACCTGGGAACCCCACCTTGAGTTTGATGTTGAAAGGAGGAAAAGATCTAAGTGCACAGAGGCTTGGTAACCACCATACAGTAAAAGCACATGGTTCCCTTCAAAGAATCATGGGAACTGTAGTTTACCCCCAGGGAGCTACCACTTCTAGTACCCTTAACAAACTTCAGCTCCCAAAATTCTTTGGGTAGAAGCTTGTTGGTGTATACACAGCCATAACCTGACCCCCAGAATAAATTCAGCTTTTCCCTTAACTATCAGCAATGCAGACAACAGTCATGACTGTACTAATACATGTGTGATCCATTCATGGCAAGCACTGCACATGGAAATACAACCTTGCTTTCACCCAGGTATCTGCTGTGTCCTCTTCCCACAGCCCCATTTTCACCACTGTCTCCAACACTCCACAGATGTTCTCCAATAAAATAGTCATTTTCAAAAAAAGAAGAGCAGGAAAGTAGCTTCAGGAGCCTGTCAAAGTTCTGTTTCCTAGTAACAACCACCAAAAAAAGTCAACCAACCACTAATAGTGGTTGTTCCCTATTTTTCCCCTCTTTCAGACAAAGACCGTTCCATGCTAAATTAAGATGATAAACCTGAAAAGGCAACGAATACTCTGAACAGCTCCTGGCAGAGGTTGTGAAGACGGTAAAGGAGCCACCTACCTGGCCATATGCCAACACAGTCGCATTGTACCCCTCGAAGCAGCCCTCGATGAGTTTGCTCACACAGGTTGTGTAGATTTGTTCCTGCCACGTATCCAGGTCGAAGACAAAGTCGTAGGTAAAGGCTTTGTCCTTTCCCAGGAGCACCTGGGGTTCGCCAGGTGTCACTGATGTGCAGATGTGGCATCCTTCTATCTTCTCCTTTGGCATCTGAGGACGGATCCTGGAGAGAAAATGGGGGAGGGGGGTGAGGACAAGTTCCCTTTATTTTGCAAGCCAGGGATGAGGAAGACTTATCAGCCGAAAGTCTGATAAACCCTGGTTTTTGACACCTGAGATGTATATACTTAGGACCCATCTTCTTTCTTTGATTGGAAGTTGTTTTAAACACTGTGCTTTAATTATTGTCACCCACCTGTCAGGGTGACACTGACAGGAAAATAACATGATAATGATAATAATAAGAACTCCTTCATGGGCAACCTTCCTGAGGCTGCATATCAGTGATATGAGTAACAAAACTGGGTGTGGTCAGACACACAACTCTCTCTGTCCAGGCAACAAGAGGTACGCGCATCAACCAATTCTGCAGCTACACTAAAGAATTCATTAGGGAGTGAGATGTCACATCCAGTAGCTATTCCAGGGCACAAACACCACAGAGGATTTGGGGCCTTAGCCAAGACACCAAGTTTAATATTGGTTGAATCCAAGTAAACAGATTCTCATGGTGCATCCCTGGTGTACAAATTCTGAAATATATCATATTTGTAGTTTAATCTGCATGCTGCCTTTCCATAGTTAAAACCATGCTCAAGGTGGCTTACAACGTGAAATGATTTACATGATTACAAACAAAAGTAGTCATAAACAATAAGGAAAACATATCAAAAAGTACACAACCATAATTGAACAATTTCAGCATAAATCATTATAAGATCTAAAAATAGAGAATGTATTGACTAATTTCCGTGCAAAACAAAACAAACCTCAAAGCAGTTAACAAAGTGCCATATATAAGCTTAGCACTATGTTAGTAATGTGGACTAGCCAATTTGCTATTTTAAAAAAAAACACCAAAACAGAGCCCTGTGGAACCTGAAAGACTTATCAGCTTTCAGGGGCTACTAAAGACATGAAACGTTAATCTCAGTTGACATGTTATATATAGCTGCACACGGGTGTACACACAGAAGAGGTGCATGCAGAAAGGAGGAATTTTAAACAGAAGGGCTAAAGGCCTTGAAATGCAGGAGGTGCATCTGTTACACTTCTATGCAAAGATCAAAATGTAGACGAGATAGATACAGCGATTCATGTGTTATCCCAGGGAAGGGGAAATCAGTATTTTCTATCATGGACTCCAGGAAAGGGGGTGTGGGAAAGAGGGGAGAATTAAAACATCCCATCCTGTCCATGGCACTCGGGAGAGCAAAAGGAAACGAGACAACAAAAACTGCCTTGCATTCTGGTGCCCAAAAGGGAACAAAGCAGCTCCTTCCTACATCTGCTACTTGTACAGATCCTGCTCAGCTTTGACCATGCGGTGTTCATGCTCAGAACCAAGGCTCTGGACTTTTGTTTCCTGGAACTTCAAAAGCTAGCACCACACAGAAGGAACTTACAAAATTCAGGGGAGTTTCAAAATCCATTTGTGATATGGAATGGGGTGGGGTGTCAGATCGGGGTGAGGCCTACTGTGCCAAAATAAAATAATGTCAGAAAGTCCTGCTGGGGATCCAAAAGACCTTTGACAAAATGAATCTAATTCAAGAGTTTGTGGTCTTTCGAGCTGTTCACTAGGAAGGCTGTAGCTGCTAGGAAATCATCTCCATGATGGGCTGTTAATCATAAAATCAATAATGGCTTAGAGTCAAAGGGCAGCAGGTTGATGAAGGCCGGCTTAGGCTCTGAGGGTGGGGAACATATCCAGTAGGATCAGGCTGTCTCAAAAGGCTGTTTAATGCCCCCCTTTACCTCAACCCACCCCGCCATCCCAGAGTGTTCACCACCCTACACCACCTGCACCTAGAAGAACTGGCAGCTTTGCATTAGAGAGATGGAAGCAGCTAAGCTATTACTCCATGTAACCCAGGCTTAGCGAGTCACAAGGTGACTGGTAATAGCACTAACATGACCTGGCAGGTGTCACCCTTCTGAGCTGTTATGTCATAGCTTGGTGAACACAAGAGCGCCACAGGCACAATAGGCTTTATTCATCCAATACAAGGACCTCACAAATCCGCATTAGAAAAGACCCATTGACGGCTCATTCCACTCCAAGCCCTTTGGCCAAGCTGCTGTCCCTTTTTCCTAGCAGGAGGGGGAAATAAACTGGTATTTCACCAACTGGCTAGCTTAACCCTGCTGCATGTGGGCTGGAAGTATTAGACAAAAACGAGGGTCACGCCAGGACTTGCTTCAACACCCTTGCTGTGGAGCCATCTGCCATTACCTCTTCATTAAGAAATGGTGAGGAGATGCGGTGGGATTGAAAGGTCTTCTAAGCATTGCCCACAAGAGGGTGTTGGGGCCTCAGCCTCAACCCAATCTCAATCATGTACATGCAGACGGCTCTCTCAGCTTCAGGGTCTGACACAAAACCCCAAAGGGTGTCTTCCAAAGACTTCAAAATCCACTTGTTAGCAGTCAATAGGAATTAGAAAAGGCCAGAATTAGAGAGGTATCTCATTGTCATAGGAAGCTGACTGACTGTGACTGACAGTGGCCCTCCAGGATATTGGGCAGGAGCCTTTCCCAGCCCTAGCTGGAGACGCCAGGGGTTTGAACCTGGGACCCTCTGCATGCTAAGCATGAGTTCTACCACTGAGCTACAACACTTCCATGAAGATCAAGCGAGGAAAGCTTTGCACTAAGCTTGTTGCCTGGCCCACAGCAACTGACGTTATCCAAGCCCAACTTCAAAAAGCAACCTCTCATTGTCAAAGGTAGGCACCTGACTGACAAATAATCAGCTGCTTTGAGTGAGGGGGCAGATGACAATGGATAGCAGCCCATCACTGGAAGTGTGTGCTACTCCATGGGGTGGAGCACCACCAATTTAGTGTCACTCTAAACTTTTGAGTCCTGCAATTATCAGCTCACCTTTCATGCAGTCTTGCAACTGTGTACCAACAAAACAAACACATAGTATATGGTTGTTAGGCAGAAGCACTGTCTGCTTCACCAGAGAAGAATTCTTGGCAATGTCATATTCCTGACCTATAAAACTAGAATGCATGAAACCAAAACCCAGATGAGCCGTCCTGGCAGCAATTGCTTTTTTGACCTTTTAGCACCCGAATCATCAAGCGATGCATCATCTATCATCTCTTGAAATTGCTGATGCTAACAAGCCACTTCCTCTGTTCCGAATAGATTTTTATTTCTAAAGAAGCTTGATTTCCATTATTATTATTATATAATGGCAAATTTTCATGTTGGTATTTCCACCAACAGAGACACTCTTTGAACAACTGGGTGAGAGGCATGGAAACTTTCTTCAGTGAGATGCTATTTGTGCAAACCTGTGTTCAGCCTCCTCTCCTCAGAGCCAGGTAAGTTGCCAAGAACACCAGATCTGATGCATTGCCATCTGGGGCTCTAGTCAAGCCCATGAGTGTGGTGGCATCGGGTATGTCTGACACTGACAGTCACAAGACTGCAACCTCTAGCGAGAGGTTTACCATGTGCCAGCAAGCCCACGTCCACTTTGCAAAGGATGTTCAGAAACGGTGGGGCTGCTCCCTTGGGTAGGCTACATATGAGCCTTTCTGTGCCTCCAGGATGGAAAAGCAGCAGCCCCCATGACATGATTGCCATGACAACCGAGTCTCGGCAGCAGGAGGAGGGAATGAGACAACCCAAAAAGGGAACACACACTGACACACTATACAAAACACCACTCGGGCACTTTCTCCAGTGGCCCCGACACACACACAATGGCCTGGCTGTTTAGCTCCATCAGCAAAAGCCAACATTTATAGAGAGGGGAACCAATTGGGCTGGCATCCAAAGCACCAATGGGCTCTAGTCTTAAGAGTGAAAGCCACAGCCCTGAGGCCAAGAAGGAGCTTTCCCCCTTCCCCACCTCCTTGGCAGCCTCGCTACATAGAAATGTCTGATCCAGGAAGATTCCCCACAGAGAGGATTCTGTCCTCTTATTTCCCTGTCAGCCCAGACTCTGTCCTAATCTTGTTTTTGACAGCAGAATGCATCCTAAAACTACCCCTGCTAAAAACAGAGATCAGATTCTTTCTCACATACGGCTAGTACAGCGCTGTGCCTAGCAACTGCCCGCCAGTAATGAACAGCCTGAGTTGTGAGTGAGTTTATTAAGAGCTTCGGCTCACTGTTTCATGATCCACCATGGAGGACGTCTCCCTTCCTTTGCTTTCCAGCCAGATCAGAGGGTTTTCTTGCATTGGTCAGAACAGATAGGATAACTTGGGGACTCTTGTTATCAACATAAGCTGCTCATTTCCCTGTTTTATTCTGCAGCTGTTGAGAACTAGAAACTTAGGAAGCAGAGAAGCACAGTCTAGAACAATTTCAAAGTTAAGTACCTAATTGACATGGATAGAAAGCAAGCCAAGTAATTGGAGAAAAGCCTGAGCCTATCAGACTCAATCAGCAAATGCTTTTTCTTGCTACTCAGCTTGAGAGAGACCATTAGCTCTTCTGTAAGAGCATTAGTGCTATCCTGAAAGTGCCTGTAGGAAGCCATTTCTGACTTCATCAAAGAAATGGGTAGTGGAAGTACCGAGAGAGAGCCCGGACTTTCAAGCACTTTTGCTAAGAGCATACGTAATGAAGGAAGAGTCTAGAAATAAGCACGGGTTGCATCATGCCAGAGCAATGAATATGGCTCAGTAGACCATGTGCTTTTATTTCCCCTCTCCATCACACCTTCCCCTCCTCTCATCACAAAGCACACAGAGAGAGAGTGAAACAGAAGGAAACCAATCCAAACTATGGAGGATAACGACACAGGGAGTTGTGCTGACCATGCTTCTCTTGATATATCTGCAATACAAAATCTAGCTAATGTTCAACTTTATGGGAACGAAAATTAGACCTTTCAGTGGCAGACATAGCTATGTACAGGGAATGCCAAAGCATACTTTTGGAGATTTTTTGGTGTGTTTGTGAATTTCCATCTAGCCTGGAGTCACTAATTCCTTATTTGGTAAGAGTCAGCCTTATCTTTTATCACTTTTCAGG